CCCCCCCCCCCCCCCCCACCACCAGGATGAGCAGGATCCCATCCCGGAGGATTGGGAGGCGAGTCTGGCACCCCTCTAGTCTTCAGTGTCCCTCTGTCCTCCTCCCAGCTGGAGCTGACCCCTCGCACTGGCCCTCAAACCTCTTAGGGTCAGCACTTCTCCCCGGTGGCTAGTGCAAAGCCTGCAGCATCTGCCTCCCTCCATCGCCTCCCCAGGGCCAGTGCCCCTCCCCCGGGCCTCCCACCCCGTTTCTTGACCCCTGAATCAGCCTGACCTTGTTGCATCCTTCCAGGGTTCTCACTTCTATCCTTCCTGCTGTCATCTCTGAGAGGAGGAACAGAACGCCACAGCTAACTATTCCCCTCGCCCCCGCTCCAGCACTGATCTCTTAGTTGCTTCTTTTTCTCCTTCGTTACGTTTATCCCCCACTCTGTCTCCATACAACTCAGGCATCTTCTCCCCTGAACTTTCAAGCCTCTAGTTCATGCCCCACAGTTGAGAGGCTTCACTGTGCTCACTTCAGCCCCCCGAGGTAAGAAAGCCGGAGGGGCAGGTCAGTGTCAGGCTCTGAGACAGACCCGGAGAGAAAGAATGCTGCCGTAAGAGATGGGGGGGGGGCAGTGAACGCCGGCTTCAGAGCAGTCACTGTCAGCGTTTGTTTATAATGGAGGAAGAATTTGAACATTTGAAGGTACTTCGGCAGGGAGCGATTCAACTGATTTTCATCACCTCCACGGTGTGAGCGGGAAGCATTCCTATATTCAGACGCGGGAACTGAGGCTCAGAAAGTTCAGCCACACGCGTCGGGACAGGCAGCTCCTGGAGAATAACCTCAAATCCAGGCCTTTCTCCTCCCAACCTCCCCTTCATTGTACTGCGCTGGTCTGTACTTTGACCAGCAAGGGGAGAGTTAGGTCCCCCAGAGGAGTGGGGGTCCACCTCCCCAAAAGACCTAGAGATGGGGACCGGGTATTCTTCTACATCTTGGGATTTGGAAGAGAATCATAGCTCTGGTGCATATTTATTACAACGGGTCCTGCTCACCAGCACTTTCCCAATCACCCTATTTAAAGTTGCTGCCACTAGGGCAGTCCAGTGGTTACGACTCCGAGCTCCCAATACAGGAGCACAGGTTCAGTCCCCGGTTGGGAAACCAAGGACCCACATCCCACTCGGCTTAGCCAGAAAAGAAGATTTTTAATAAAATTACTACCACTCCATTCTCCATATCCCCTCATTTCTTTTCTTCATACATTACATCAAACATACTACAAATTTACTTATAAAGTCTGTCGACCTCACCTCCCACCAGAATGTCAGCTTAACAAAGGCAAGGACTTTTCATCTGTTTGCTATTGGATTCCTAGCTCTATCGTGTTTGGCATATAATAGGTGCTCAATAAAAATTTATTTATAAAACAAAAAAGGTAGCCTGAGTGCAGCTTCTCGCGTTGCCGCCCACAGTGTGGATCTCCCAGAAAGCCTCTCGAGCGTTGCTAGAGTCCTGAAATGTTTCTTTCCCCAGCCCACCCACCCTCGGGCTTGGGCCGTACTGAGAAGTCATTCTGGCTGCACGGGACTCCAGGTTCATCCCCAGGTGAGGGCAGCGGCTAGGTCTTGTTCCTGAGTGCTCATTCGCTCAGTGACAGACTCTTTGGGACCCCATGTAATTACCCAGCTAATTAAGGGGCTCTCTAGGGAAACCATGGCCCCGGACTCAGGGTTGGGATAAAGGGCAGAAGGAGAAGGCTGTCTACATGTAAATAATATGACTGTTCATGCCTTTGAGAAGTTCAGATGCTATTTTTAATTGGATCTGGACATCTCCCACCTCCTCCCCTCCTCTCCTCTCACCAATCTGGAAAAGGAGGCCCAAGCCATACAGGTTGGAGGGAATTAGGGGTGCAGGAGGAAGAAGATATTAGATGAGGGCCCAGGACTAAAGTCTCCTGGATCCCATCTCTATGTCAACCTCCTGCCCCTCACCACCCCACTCAACCCTGCCCCCACGTCCTGGTACCAGGGAAGCAAGGCTTCAGCAAAGGTCCAGCATGAATAATGTCCTTTGATGATAAGGCGTCTCACAGGATGGCAGGAGCCAAAGATCGGGGGGAGGGGGGGGGCAAGGGAATGGCAGGGAGAATGGATCACCCCTTGATCTCTGGGATTAGCAAAGACTTGAAAGAGCTGGTGCTAAATCAGAGAGGTGATGAAGGAGGGAGGCAAGGCCAGGCTGGGCTTCACTTTGCCCACAGATCATATGCAAATAGCATGTAAAGCAGGTACTGCAGCTACAAAGCTGCTGGGTGTTTCTTCCTTTGAACACTTGTGACTTGAGCCACATCTCAGACACTGTCACTGGCCTGGAGGAGCAGAATCCCTAGAAGGATCCCCTCTGGGACCCGCCCCTCCCTTTGCTGATTCAGGTTGGCGGTGAGGCCAGGTAATGGGGGAGCAGGTCAGCCCATCCCAGGGGTCGAGGTGGAGCATGTGCTCGAGCGCACGAGACGGCCTGTGTCTGTCCAGCACATGCACAGCTTGCGGGGCAGCACGTGGACCCCTTCAACGTCCTAGAGGGGTGCTGCCGGATGCTGTGGGAGGGGCCAGAGTCACAGGTACACTGGGTGGAGAGATGCCGGAGAGGAATGGGAGGATGCCAACCCCATGGCCAGGACACGGCTGGGAGACAACCTGCAGCATGAGGAATAGGAGCCCCTCGGAGCCTGGGCCAGAAGGGGGCTGAGCCTGGAGGGCTGGGCGAGAGCTGGTTTGTGCCGTGAGACAGCAGAACGACTGCTCGCTGCGGTTAGGGGTGCTGGGATGACTTGTGCCTACCAGAGGCTCAAACAGCCGAGACTGAGAGAGTTGGACGGGTGACGGGGAGCGGGAGGCAGAACTTCAGCTTCTCCCACGTGATGGAGCCACTTCAAGCCCCATGACGAGGGTAGGGAAACAGCCCCTAGAGCCTTCAGGGGATGGGAACACAAGCTCTCGAATTCCAGAAGAGAAGCAGAGACAGGAAAGAGGAGGGGAGAGGGAAAGGTGGGAGAGTAAAGGAGAGAGGATCCCCAGCTCCTTCCTCAGCCTAGCATCCACCCACACGACTGAGGGGGAGGGCAGGAAGGGGGTCAGGAGCCCTGCCCTAGAGCCTTCAGGGGATGGGAACACAAGCTCTCGAATTCCAGAAGAGAAGCAGAGACAGGAAAGAGGAGGGGGGAGGGAGAGGGGGGAGAGTAAAGGAGAGAGGATCCCCAGCGCCTTCCTCAGCCCAGCATCCACCCACACGAGGGGAGGGCAGGAAGGGGGTCAGGAGCCCTGCCCCCCCTCCATCCCCAGCCTGGGAGCCGACAGTGCCTTCAGCCCTGGGGAGGGGGAAGCAGCAGAGGGAGCAGCAGCGGCAGGTTCTCCTGGACTAACAACCAGACACTTCACTGGGAAAGTGACGACGATTCGGGCCCTGGGAGCAGGAGATGAGCTGGAGAGCCGGGGCGGGCAGGCTCTGGTCACCGCCCCCTCTCGGCCCACTCCGAGAGGTTGGGGTGGCGGAAGGGTGGCCAGAGCCCCAGCTCAGGACAGAGCCCCCTACCCGTGGCAGCTCTAGACCCTCACCCACGGGGAAGAGCTGCCTCCCGGGGTCCTGTGTCAGCTCAGGGCAGGGTGTGCCAGGACTCAGGGCTGGCTGGTGCCCTGAGAGCTAGATTCGTCTGCAGGCCAGACGAGGAGTTAATCAGGTCTCCCGCCAGCATGATCACATGGGGCGTGAGCTGCCTGCCGATGGAAGCTGAGGTGGAGGGAGACCCGTCCTCAAGGCACGGTGAGCTCAGCAGACACAGGGAAGAAGCAGGGAAGGCAAAGACCGTGGAAGGAGACAGAGCCGCCCGGACAGAAACAAAGGCAGCCATTTTTGTGCTCTCGTGAGCGATCTACCCCTAACTGCAGACAAAGGAGCTGCCTGTTCCCTAAAGGTAGACACCAGAGCAGAGAGGCTGAGATGGTACAGCATCTACGACGAAACAGATACAGAGGAAGTGGGGGGACATCTAAAGCATCATACAAAACATCACGTGTTAACATCACTCGGAGCCCACGGAACCGGGGACAGTGAGATGGTGTGAGACAGCTGGAAACCCAGAAAGAAATACTGTGGATGACACATGGAAAACAAATGAAGACAAGAGGGAAGACGTCAGTCGTGGGGATGAGCGCGTCTGGGTGGGGGAGCAGCCCCCTGTCAAGCGCTACCAGCTGTAGGCCCCGGCTGTGGGGCAGTGATTCGCCAGGTGACGGCTGGCAGCAGCCTGACATCTCCGGTGTATGGAAAAGCAGGGCGTGCCAGGGGGCAGGTGTGATGAAGTCCAGTGCTGAGCCGGGGATGGAGGGGACCATGCATGGAGCTGTGGACCCAGCTCACCTCTGCTCACATGAGCCCCCCAGCCTTGGGCCCCCTTTCAAGCTAAATCTCGAAAGGATCCCCATACCTGACGAGACAGAGATCCTCACGTCTTCCCTCCAGGGACACATTTAATGAATCAGCTCATTGGCCACCTGCGACCTGAGCCCCATCCCGGACTGCCCCGCCCCCACCCCAGTCTCTCCAGACCCCGCCAGAGCTCAGCCGGTCAAGGAGCCCAGAGACAATTTCCCTTCTTTTTCATTCTTATTGTCTGCATTATCTGGCTCCAAGGAGCCCCAGTAGAGGAAAGGGAGGGGTCAGAGGGTCTAAGTACAAGCCAGAGGAAGGATGGGGGAGCAGGGACCCACCCACGTGATCAAACGTTCGCAAAGTCTCTTGTCACATTACTAGTGGGCAAAGAGGCCGAGGGTGGGAGGAAGCTGACTTTGGAGAGAGTTCTGGGAAGGTTTGGGAGAAGCAAGGTCCTCTTCAAGGGTTCTTCAATCTCCGGCCCCACAGCCGATCAGGGGGTTCAGCCTCGAGATCCCCCCACAAAGGTGGGCGGGTACGGGTGGGGCCAGTGCCGTCAGGAGGAAGAAACTGCGGCACCTCCTCACTGTACAGTCACCTCCAGGCAACGACTCCCCTTCTTCTTGCAGCTCAGCTTGCCAGTCCCGCCACCCCCAGGGCCCTGGACGACCTTGACCGTCAAGCTGCCCTCCTTGAACTTCACTGCGAACCTGGCGGGGGCACAGACAGAAAGGCAGAGCTAGCGCCCTCGTCCCCCCACCCCTACTCCTGTATTTTCACAGCGGCTCCCGCCCCCCTTCTCGAGGCAAGTACGCTCCCCCCTCCTGCCCACCGGCCCCTGTGCCGGAAGACTCAAGGCCACAGGGAAAGGGTGGCCCTGACCTGACACAGTACGCTTCGCCTTCTGGCAGGACAGATTTTCCCGGTCACAGTGACCACCAGCTTGGTCGTCTGCCCCAAGCCATCCCTCAGCCCTGGCTCAGGGCCTTACTCCTCAGTCACGGCGACTGGAAGCTGTGTCCGCGTGGCATCCAGCGTAGCCCGGTATATTTTGGTCAGCAGCTCAATCACGTGCTCGCTGACCAGCAGGAAGTCCCCCTTGGCGCCCACCGAGGAGATCTTAGGGAGGGGAGAAACAGCAGGGAAGGGATTCATTTTCCCTCCTGGGAGCAGCCTGGGAGATATCAAAGGCCTGGAGGGAGAGGTCCGGTCCCCCTCGCCTCCAGCTCAGCCTGGCCCTGTAGTGTCCACCACCTTCTCCAGGCTGGGCTCTGCCCCCACCCGGCTCTGATACCTCGCTCAGATGCAAGCTAAAAAGCCCATCCTTGAAGCTGGTGACCGACACCCCGGCCAAACTGTTTAGCGGGATGGCAGTCTTGGCCTGGGGATTCTTGGTGTCTGTGATGATCACATGCCCCTTGGTCAGGAGGAGGATTCGAGAGGAAGTCTAGGGACAGAAGAGGAAAGGGTGAGGGAAGGTGGCGATTAGTCCTCACCCTTCTGGCTACCCGCCAGGGCTCTGGATCAAGCTGGGGGGTGAGCGGGGTTAGGGTATGGGCCTTCACCTTGCCGTTGCCACGATTGACCTTCATCACAGTCTCAGCCATCAGAATAGGCCCTTCTGCCCCGCCCTTCAGCTTCTGTAGCTTGGGGTTTCTTTGCAGCCCGACGTAGTCACCGCGAAACGGAGTAGGGACGCTGAAGACACACAGGAAGTGCGCAGGGGAGACGCGGTCCTGACCTCTGACCCCAAGGTCCCTGCACCTCCGCCACGGAGTTCCCAGCCCAGTCCTCCCGTCTCCATCCCCATCCCCCACCGTATCCTCGGTCTCAGCGGCTCTTAGACGTGGCCCAGGGCCCACATCAGCATCCCCTAGAACCCGGTTAGAAAGGCAACTTCTCGGCCCCGCCCTAGACCTCCTGAATCGGAAACCCTGAGGAGGGCACGCAGCCATCTGGCCGTTATCCAGCCCACCGGGGTGCTGGCGTTTGAGGACTCCAGCGTGATTCTTCCTGGGGAAGCTTCTCTTTGCTTTTGATGAAGCGGCGCAGGGTCTGGGAGCGCCTCACCTCTGGGCGTATGAAGCCTTTTTGCCCTTGAACAGCTCGCTGGCGCAGAGCTTCTCCCTCAGGACCTCTACCTGCTTGGGGGACAGCTGATCCCGGAATTTCTTGCACTGTGACGGGAAGGGGAAGGAGCGAAGGTCACGGAGGAGAGGGCAGGGCTGGGGTGTGGGGCGCGGAGAACACTGAGATGAGAAAGGAGGGGGCAGGGGCTGGAAAGAGGCGGAGGTGAAAGGACAGGGAGCAGACACTTTGGGGAGGCGGGAACTGTGGGGTGCTGGGGCGGGAATGGAGGCTATCACACTCAAGCCCCAGGAGGGCGGTGCACCCAGCCCACAGCCTAAGGCGCAGTCCCAGACAGGAGCGCGAAAGTCCTCCTGAAGAGACCACTGTGCTAAGTGAAATAAGCCAGACGGGAGCACAAATGTGGTATGATTCCACGTATAGAAGTTCCTAGAATAGTCAAAGTCACAGAGACCAAGAGTAGACAGTGGGCTCCAGGGGCCAGGGACGGAGGAGCAGAGGGTTTTTCTTAATGCGTACAGAGTTGCAGTCGGAGATGATGAAAAAAAGCATGGAGGTGGGCGGTGGTGATGGTCACACAACGGTGTGAGTGTCCTTAATGCCACTGAACCGCGTATTTTAAAACGGTTAAAATGGGGACTTCCCCGTGGTCCAGTCGTTGACTCCACCTTCCAATGCAGGAGGCCCCGGTTGGATCCCTGGTCGGGAAACTAAGATCCCACATGCTGTGGGGTGTGACCAAAAGAATTTTTTTATCGGTTAAAGTGGTAAATTTTATGTGTTACCACCAAAAACAAAAAAAGTTTTGTGAGTGGAAGAGGGAGGCAGAGGAGGAAAATCAGAGGAAGGGGAAGAGAAAAAAGGCAGACGAGAGAGGAGCTGCCGGGCAGCAGGAGAGCTGCGCAGGCCCCGCTCACCTTCCACTGGTGGAAGAGCCTCTGGAGCTCCCGGTTGGCCGCGCTGAAGCACTTGTAAGGGGCAGGCGGCCACTTTTCGTCCAGGATGCTGGGAGAAGGCAAGCCGTTCTTCAGTCCCAGTAGGAATCTCTGCACCTGGGTTGGGGGCGAGGGGGTTGTCAGTGGGATGATGAGAAGACCTCCTGATGGGCAAACTTGCACCCAGATCCTGCCCCTTCCACGAGCAAGGCCACCACAGACAGGAGCAACCAGTGGGGCTGAGGAGGTGGAAGCGAGTCCACCGCCCGTCTCTTCAGTGTGAATGTGGGCCTGAGGCTGAGCAGGAGCCACGTGAATGGCAGATGGAAGGGAGAGATGGGTTAGATCCAAGCAGGTACCGTCTAACCATTTTAGTGAGGTAGGAGGAGCCAATATGAAAACTGGCCTTAATATCTTGCTCCTGCAGTTTCCTGTTCTCAAGACTCTTAACTGTCTACAGGTGGCCGCCCCGCTGTGTTAGCTGCTTGGACGGGTACCGAATCTTCCCTCCTCTGCTCAGTCAAGCCCAGCCCTGCAACCTGGCAGAGTCCTGGTCGCATTGCCAGGACACTGTTCAAAGTCCTCTACTTAGAGTCCAACCTCACGTCATGGGGTCCCCTGTGTTACCCTGGCACACGAACCAGACTGGACTCCTTGCCCTGCCCTCTGCCCAGCCCGTGCATTACCGCTCTCTGCCTTAGCTAATGCTGCTCTCAGCTCAACTCTGCCAACGCAGATTCTACTTATGCTTTGAGACGGAGCTCGAAGCCGTCCCAGATTCCCTGGGCCAGGGTGTCTCTCCTCTGAAGTCCCTCAGCACGTTGTCTATGCTTCTGGTTTTTGGAGCGCTGGTATTTGCACAGCAATCTTCCCCCCTTCTGGTTTTTGGAGCGCTGGTATTTGCACAGCAATCTTCCCCCCTTCTGGTTTTTGGAGTGCTGGTATTTGCACGGCAATCTTCCCCCTCTTCTGGTTTTTGGAGCGCTGTTATTTGCACGGCAATCTTCCCCCTCTTCTGGTTTTTGAAGCACTGTTATTTGCACGGCAATCTTCCCCCTCTTCCATAGGGCAAGTCTGTGGCAGCCAGGATCCCAGGTCCTGGCTGTTTTCACCATTCAACATCACTGAGAATCTGCTCTGTGCGGATATTGTTCTATGAAACACAGCAGTCAACAGCCTCTTCTCCCTGAGTTTATGTCCTACTGGGACTGGAGAAGGAGACAGCCCACAAGCAAATAAACACAGAACATAACATTAAAGAATTCTGTCCGCTATGGTACAGAAAAAGCAGGCCTGAGACAGGGAGGAGAGGTGGCATATTCCAGACCCAGAAGGAAAGCCAGTGCGACTGGCCTAAGCTGAGTGAGAGGAGAGAAGATCAGAAAATCGGTTGGCCAAAGACAGATCATAAAGGGCCTTGTAGGCTGTGATAGAGAATCTGGCTTTTACGTGGCATGAAACAGAACACCATTAGAGGGTTTTAGAAGAGTGACATAATCTGCCTTAAGATTTTACATTTTAATTTGTTTAATTTTTAAAATGTAATACAATTTACTTTCTTATCTTGAAAACTTTTTAATTTGCATGAAAGTTGAAAAAAGATTACAGTGAGCATCTGAATAATATATACTTCTTACCTAAACTCACCTACTGATAGTACCTTACCCTACTGTTGCACTCTAACACACACTTATATTCAAATGCATATAAATATATAAATATACACATATGTACAAATCTTGGCTACTATAGCATCCTAAAGTAGGTCACAGTTATCATGACATTTTCCCCTGAAACTTAAGCACACGTTGTCCAAGAACCAGAATATTTCCCTACACAATTATAAGTCCATCACCATACCCTAGGATATTAACATTAATTAAATACACTCGCCCAACAGCAATGCATATGCAAATCTCTTCTCATGTCCTTTATAAACTCTAAAAGTATCCTCTTTGACTTTGCTTTTATTTTTCCTGATCCAGGATCCAATCAAGTTTCATCTATGGCATCTGACTGTTTAGTCTCCCCCAATCTAGAACCAAGACTCTTAAGTCTTTACATCCCAGGGGGTCCCTAACACCTTGTTTGTTTATGGGACAGAATTATTGAAGGTATAGAAAATGACTTGATCTTGAACACTTCCAAATTGTTGGAATTTTTATGAAAGTTTTCTATTGAGACATTAGGGTAAAACACAAAAATAGAAAAAGGCAGAGTAATACTGCTATATAAAATAGTTATAAAATAGTAATACTGCTATATAAAATAGTTATAAAATAGTAATCCTGCTATATAAAGTAGTTATAAAATAGCAATATTGCTATAACTTGGAACCACGCAAGCTCTTTCTATCTTCCCCTACCCAGATCTAATGCGCTTAGTCTAACTACCCTGAAGTCCCAGTCCTTGGCCTGGTTTGATTTAATTCAATAAACATTCCTAAGCATCTCCTATAATCCTCCACATACCAATTGGTGGGGAGCTTCTGAGGTTTCTCTTTTCATTTTCTCAGACCTAGGAAGTTCCACTTTTCCCTATGTGTCTCTTCTGCCCCAGGTCTAGCCAGAGTCATGGGTGCCTGGGTCTCTCTGTGAGTGGTGGGGGTGGGGAGGGAGGAAAGGGGAACAGGCACAGGTGGTGGTTCACTAGAGTCAAATAGCTGACATCCCAGCTCTCACCACACACCAGCTGTGAAAAATGCCTACAAGTTATTCAAAGGCCCTCTCAGGGCCTTTGTCATTTAGTCGCTAAGTCATGTTGAACTCTTGCGACACCGTGGACTGTGACCTGCCAGGCTCCTCTGTCCATGGGATTCTCCAGGCAAGAAGACTGGAGTGGGTAGCCATTTCCTTCTCCAGGGGATCTCCCCAGCCCAGGGATCGAACCCAGATCTTCTGCACTGCAAGCAGTTTCTTAATTGACTGAGCTACGAGGATAGCTCCCTCTCTGTGCCTTAGTTTTTAACAATAAAATGGGTTTGTTTTAAAGGAACATATATTTTGAATGGGCTTCCCAGGTGGTGCTAGTGCTAAGAACCCACCTGCCAATTCAGGAAACATAAGAGATACAGGTTCAGTCCCTGGGTCAGGAAGATCCCCTGGAGGAGGGCATGGCAACCCACTCCAGTATTCTTGCCTGGAGAATTGTAATAGTAAAGGCAAGGTAATGGCCTAGCCAGAAACACTGGGGCAATCAGTGCCCAGTGGCCCCCTGTGAGCAGACTTCCACGGTGGGTTTGATTTATTGAAATGCTGGTTTAAACCCAGCAGCTCCCATGGTGACATTCTGCAGATGCCTGATAGCTCGTGGGTGAGAGTGAAGGTCGATGAGGTCAGTCAGGAGATAAGAGCAGAATCAGATTGCAGGCTCTGGTGCGCAGCGGGCGAGCACGTACTCTGGTGAGGCAGACACACTGGAGCCTGCGGAGCGCCCGGCACGGGAGGAGGACGACTGGGCTTCCCCGAGAGAGGGTGGAGGTCGCAGGGAGGACTCGGGAGGCGGGGAGGACGCCCAGAGCCCCCGTCCCTCAACTCGGCCAAGGGAACAGAGGGGAGCACCAGGAACTGCCTCGAGTCCCTGCGAGCAAAGTCAGCAAGAGCTCTGACAAGCGTCAACGGTCAACTCAGCTGAGTTCAGTTCAGAGTCGCTCCAGCCTTCTGTCCAAAACCGCCTGCTCTCCTCGCTGGTCTTTCCCAAGGTCTCACTGGAAGCCCTGCTTCCCGCCTCCGGTTTCCCTCCAACACTTCTCAGAAGCACCCTCGCTATCGGAGACATGTCTCTGGCAATCACCCCTTTCCATCCCCATTTTCCTCTCGCTGGAAACTGTTCATAGTTTGAACCTCCAGGCCTGCTCCTGACTGCTTCCTGCTCACCCTGACCTGAGTCTTCCTGAATCAAGAGCTTTTCTGAGGTTCACTTCCAGCCTCGCCTGCTACAGTGTCCGAAGAGACAGGAGGAAGATTCCATTCCTCCACCATCACCCCCTCAACCTACAGTGAGTGGGGAGGCTGGGTTACTTGACCCTGCGTGTGTCCTTGCTCTGCTCCGAGCCTGAGGCTCAGACTCTTCCACGCTCACTAACCGCCCAGCCCAGGCTCTTCAGCCCGTTCACCCTGGACTCCTCAGTGGATGTGCCGGGACCCCTTCCTGCCGCAGGTTGCTGCAGCGTCCATTCACGCCAAAACGTGCTGATTCTCTCCCTGGGTCCTGAGCACTGGGGCCCTCCTCCTACAGCCCTGCCCCCTCACGGACAGAGGAGGCTCCTGGGGAAAAGCTTGAGATCACCTCGTCTTGAGCCCCACGCACTTCCTCTTCCCACCCCGCCCCTCCCTCCTCCGCGCCCTGTTTCCTTCCTCGGCCCCCAACACTTACCATGCGCTTGTAGATGAAATTCGACAAGATGAGCGCAGCCCCCGAACGGAAGTACTTTCGATAATTCTTCCGGGCCTGGCAGGGAGAAACAAGAAAGGAGCGGATAGTGAGTCCCGCCTGAAGACAGAAGACAGGCTGAGGAGAGGCTCTGCCACTCCGCAGTCACGCAAAGAACAGAGTAAGGGAAAGAGCTGAGACTCTAACTGGAGGGAGAGAGTGAAGTCAGACAAGGGGGCTAAACCGAGAGGACACTCAGTGCAGAAGGCAGAGCTAGGTCAGCAGCATACCCAGGCACGTGTTCAGATCTCCCCATGTATCCACGCTCCCGGACACACACGGAGCAGACCCAGAAACGCTGCGGTCACACAGAGATGTGTCCGGGATTTGCGCAGGACCTGCTCCCCGCCACCCCTGGGCTTCCAAGGTGGCGCTACAGGTGACGAACCCGCCTGCCAATGCAGGAGACGTTGTGGTTTCAGCCCCTGGGTTGGGAAGATCCCCTGGAGAAGGGCATGGCAACCCACTTCAGTATTCTCACCCGCACAATCCCCATGGACAGAGGAGCCTGGTGGGCTACAGTCCATGGGGCCTTAAAGAGTCGAGCGTGACTCAGTGACTTGGCACGCACACATTCTTCCCCCACCCCAGCAGCAGCTGGCACAGGGAGCCACGTGTGGGGATGAAGCCCTTCCTCTCCCCATTACCTTCCACCCTCTCGCAAAAGCCTGGATCAGCAGCGCTGATGCCTTCATCTTCCCGTAGCGTTTCTTCTGCTGCAGGAACAACGAGCCTGTTAGAGAAACTCCACCTGCCGAACCACCTTTCTACTTCCTGCTCTCCTATCAGAGCGAGGGGGATAGAACGTCAGGGGTAACTGGTACCATGTTGCCCCGAAACCAAGAGGATATGACGATCTGACTCTTGCGCATCAGCTGGTAGTGGGTGCGGCAGCGCCAGCCTCGGTACGTCTTCTGTATGAGCGTGGCTAACTGCTGCAGCCGGAGACGCCTCTGCTCTTCCAAGTAGAAAAGCTGTGGAGGGGTGCAGGGGTCACAGAGAGGCTGGCCTAGGGGGAACCCATGGCCCCAGTGGCTTCCCAGTCCGCGTTTTATTCAATCATCCCTTTGTCCTCTTAGTTTCCTCATCTGTGCATCCATTCATTCAATTGTCCACATATCCATGAGCCCTAACTCTTGAGCAGGCACTGCGCTAGGACTTGGACACTCAGACCGCTGACTCTCAAGGAGCCCTGCTTCAGGGAGAGGTTTTCAGACTGGCAAGGCATGCACACCTAGCTTCTGGGGCCCAGGGCAGGCGGGCTGGGGCCCCAAGCGGTCAGTTCCCAGGGGTACAAGCTCTGCAGAAAGACGTCCTCACCCACTATCCCTTCCAGGTTCTAGAAGCTCCCTTCAGCCAGCCTCTCACTCAGGGGGGCTCTCCAACTCTTCCACCGTCCAGCCCCACCAAACACAAGTGCCCCCTGCAACTCACAGTCTTGGGGCTTTTGATGAAGATCTTTGTCTTCCCAAAGGCCAGCTCCTCCGAGGACATGCTCAGCTCCCCCAGGACCTTCTCGACCCCCTCCCTGCCAAGTCAGGTGAAGAAAGCTGTCCAGGGGCATCCCAGGGGACGGGCCTCTCCCAGTTTTCCTCTCCCGCTTCTAAGAGGGGAGAAGAGCTCAGGGCTCAGCAGACTTCAGAGCCTCTGAAAAGTCATCATTCAATTCCTGTCCCCCAGGAGCCATTCGCCCAACTCCAGCGATGCCCACGGCACTGCTTGAGGGCTCTCCTCCCCACAGGCTCCTTGCACCGCCCCTCCCTGCCCCCCAGTCTCCCACTGAATCTTACTGGTCTCCACCACTCCAGCGAGGCCAGGTGCTCCGGCTCAGCAGTCGGTACCTTTCCAGGAAGGACCCGTAGGCCTGGCGGTAGGCGTAGCCTGCCCGTCGCACCCGCACATTCTCCAGCAGCCCCAGGTACCGAGCCTGGACACTTACCAGCTCGAAAGAGAAGTGACCTCGCTGCTGATGCTCGTTGGGCTTTATGCACCTGATGAGAGGTAGGCCAAGGTCCAGGCTGCAGCAGCTTCACCCTTGCCCATGTTGCCCTTCCTAGTCTCTGCACCCCTTGTGTTTGTTCTATGAGGCTTCAGTCGTGTCCAACTCATTGCAACCCCATGGACTGTAGCCCGCCAGGCTCCTCTGTCCATGGGATTCTCCACAGGCAAGAACACTGGAGTGGGTTGCCATGCCCTTCTCCAGGGGATCTTCCTGAGCCAGGGATGGAACCCACATTTCTTGCATCTCCTGCATTGGCAGGCAGGTACTTTACCACTAGGGGCGCTGGGAAGCCCACACGCCTTAGCTGGAAAGCTCCAGGGAAGGCAGGTACACCAGCCGTCCCAGTGTCACTCAGTAGACACGGGCGCTACCTGACCACGCTGCTCTCCCCATCACGGGACGTTTGGCTGCTCCGTGGGCTCTGTTCCCCATGAGGAAAGGGTTTCTGGTACCCTTCCTCCAGGGAGCCCCTCCCCACGTGGACGTGTTCTACCATGCCTGGACCCTGTGCGTGTCGTCACAGAAGCAGCATGTCCCCTGTGTGCCCAGCATGTCACCTGATGTAGTTGGGGTTCTTGGAATACAGGTTCTTCATGAGAGTGGTCACGGAACTCTTGAACTGGGACCCAGCGGTTGGGGGGCGTTTGAGAGATGCCTGTTTTGGATCCCCTTCAGGAAACAAGGACCGCAGGAGCGGGTGCCGGGCCTTCCACATGGCCTGGGACAAGTCTCGGAAGAGCAGGTCGTTGTTCTTGTCGATGAAGCTATTGACGTTATAGGTCACCTGTGCGGGGACAGCACTTGGTCTGGCGCATCCGCCACACTGTCTGTCAAGCTCTTGGCGCTCCCAGTCTCACCGTGAAGTGTTCCCGGCTCCCGTCTTCCCCAGTGCCTCCCCCACGGTCTTCAGTCTGCGCCCAGACCCCCATCTTCACCATCCAGGCCCATCACATCACCTTGCCTGCGTAGTGGCAGATGCGGAAGCAGCTGAGGCCCATGCTGTGGTCATACTGGCGCTGGGCGTTCTGGGTGACTTTGCTCTCATAGTGGCTGTGCTTGGAGAAGAGCTGGTTCAGCTTTGCCAGGAAGGTGGAGTCACTGACCACCCCAGGCCGCAGGCACTCCTCATCCAGCATGGCCAGGATGCCTTGCCGATTCTGGCCAGGGAAACAGGAACAGCCCAACCTAGACCGTGCCCTTCAAGATGTCCACACCTCACTGCCGCCCCTCTGCCCCCTCATCCTTTCCGTCCTGACCATCCTTATCAAGCAGGGTGGGAGGGGGGGAGAGAGACAGGGGAAGGGAGTTCAAGCAGTCTGGAGCGGGAGGTCCCAGAGGTAAGAGAAGAACTTACATGCTCAATGAGGTCACAGATAGTGCCATTATCAAAGTAGTCCACCTTCACCCATGGTATGCCCTGGCGAGGGGAGGCATGACAGATTACACGTAGCAGATCCAAGATGAGACCCCAAGACCCCACCAGAACCAGGCCCCCTCTCATCCACCCCACCAAGGACCATCAGAAAGCCCGGTAGTTCAGAGGGTCCTTGGTGTGGTTTCTATTACATCCTCATCCCTCCAGGATTGATGGAGAATTTGTGGCGTGGGTGGACAGATGTCTGGGAGGACCCAGAGCAGTTGTGAGAGGGGGTGAGACAGTGTCGAGAGCCCCGGGGGTGCTGCAGGTTGGGGGGGGAGAGTAACATGGCAGGGACAGACTGGGATAGGCGTCACCCCACTGTGGAAGGGGGAAGGGATCCTTGAGTATGTGGAAGAGCAAACTGCCATTCCGCTCTGGCCACAGACCACAGAAGAAAAGCGCGTAAGTAAAACCAGAGGCTTATCATCAAACAGCAAAGCTGATCTGGCACATCTTCAAGGACCTGCGTCAGTGATTCTCAAACTCCAGTGTCCATCGCAGTCACCGAGAGGGCGTGTTACCACGCAGGCTTCTGCGTCTCAGCCCCAGTTTCTGACGCGGCAGGCCTGGGACAGGGCCTGCGGACTTGTCTTTTCATCAGGCCTACAGACAGGCCCTGACCACCCAAGGGCCACACCTCCCCAGTTCGGGCCACTCCCAGGTGTGGTTGGGGAACATAAGCCTTTCTCTTCTTTCCTCACAGGTCTTTAGGGAATGCAGAGTGGAATTAAGCAAAGTTGCCCTCCCACTTCATCCGCCAAATACCTCTCCCAACTGGTTAAATGAATGAGGACATCCTTACAGCCGTAGGCAGCTGTAGAGAAGCATCTTTATGAACTGATACAGAAAGGTCTCTTGTTGACTGGCGGGAACAAGATGCAGAATGGGGTATATTTGTGGCCACTTGAATAAATGTTGGGGGAAACGTATTTACAGACTTTCTGCAGATGGAGGCTGACTTCAGTCGCCTCTGGAGGGGAGGGAGAACTAAAAGGGGGTGGGAGGAAGACTTTTCTTTATACACCTTTTTAGCTTTTTGAATCTGGAAGTATGGGTACGATTTATCTACTTGATAATATAAGTTCTTAAAGTCAAAACATACAAAATTTTTTTAAAAACCTTTGAGTTGTGACCACATTGCCTGAAATGCTGCCACGGCAGGTCCCTGAGTTCACAAGGGACATTCCTGGGAGGCTTTGATGAGTGAGACACAGCCGTTCACACTTTGGAGTGAATCAGCTTTTCTAACACTTGGCCGTAGAAGCGGGGACCAGGGGAAGGAGTGTGGAAATTTTGAGCCACGGGGCACTTATGATGAGGAAGTCTGGGTGCTACAAAAGACGACAGCGACATGAGTCCAGCCCGGAGGAGACAAAGGATTCTGATGTCAAAGAAGGGCACCAAAAGCGATGTGTAGGGTGGCAAGCCAGGAGAAATGCCCCTTCTAAATCTGGCTCACAGTCTGCCCTGGGCCAAGCACAGCTGTCACTTCACTTCTGTCAATCTTTCCCACTCCCACCTACCCCTGACACCCTTCCATCAATCTGCCCCTTCCTTGCCTGGCCTGGAGTGGAAGGGCGGGGAACTGGGGGTGGACAGCAGAGAGTTAGGGCTTCTTGGCAATGCTGGCATATTCAGCTGTGCAAGGGAAACTTTCTGTCCTTACTGTTCCCATCTGGGGACAATTGAGAGGAAATTGTGACAAAGGAGAAAAAGGTCTGGCATGTGCCTTACATCATCTGAGAGAAAGGCCAGCAGGAAGGCTTCACTCACCTCTCTCTTATATTCCTCTTGTTCCTCTTTCAGTGTCATCTCTATGAACACCTGCTGTAGCTTCTCGTTGCAGTAGTTGATCACAAATTGCTCAAAGCTATTATCCTGAGGTGGGTACACAGGTTAGAGAGAGAGAGAGACCAGCTCAGCACAAAACGCTTCCTCCGTCTCAGCCTGACCTCCCCTCTCCCATACCCCGCTTCGAGCTTGCCACCCCTCACCCCCAGGAAGCAGGGTGCGGAGGCTGCCGGAGCTCTCTCACCTCTAATATTTCAAAGCCATAGATATCCAGAACCCCCATGACCTTCCTCTTCTCCCCAGTACCCACCTGGAGAGGAAGAAAAGATCCATCTGAGGACCAGCCCTCTGCACATGCGGCCAGGCCCCTCTGGATGGATGAGAGTGAAGCAGGGGGCAGACAGCACTTGAGTGAACTTGACCATGCTGGAGGGGAACTGGGGTGATTTCATGCTCCCCCTTCCTCTGTGACCAGCTGGTCTCGAAGGACCAGCCAAGAGTGAGGAAAGGAGGGAAGGGAAGAGGCAAATAGATTCCAGGAAAATGCTCCCATGGCTCAACGTAGAAAACATGAAAATCTAGGAAAATAACCATCCCTTATATGTGTAGAGCATTTTACAAGCAAATCCTAAGATCTTGTTTCATTAATCTGTATATCCCTATAAGGTGTGATGATTCCCTTTCTACAGACAAAAAAATCAAACTTCAAAAGAGCTAAGAGACTTCCCTGGTCCAGGGGTTAAGACTCCACGCTTCCACTGCAAGGCGTGCAGGTTCAGTACCTGCTCGGGGCAGGAGGGTGGAGGGGAGAGCCGGCAGGGACTAAAATCCCATATGCTGCGTAGCGTAGCAAAAAGAAAAACCAAAAAACTGCCAAAAGAGTTAACATTTCCCCAAACCTAGATTCAAACCCTACTTTACCCGGCTGACTTCCAGTAACTGGTGGCACTTTCATGTACGTAATTTTTAAACAATGGCTCTATTTTGGCCTAATTTGTACAGCATAAAATTTACCCTGTAAATTTATACAATTCGGTGATGTGGCTGTTTTGGTTTTTTTTTTTTAGTATATTCAAAAAGTGTCCAACCATCACCACTAAATTCCAGAGTATTTTCATCACCCCCAAATGAAATACTGTACATGGACCCACAGGCAGTCACTCCCTATTCCTCTGGTAACCATGGACCTACTCCCCATCCCTCTGGATTCGCCTATTCTGGACATTTTATATAAATGGAATCACACAAAATGTAGCCTTTTGGGTCTGGCTTCTTTCACTCAACATGTTTCCAAAGTTCATCCATGTTGAGCTTGTATAAGTACCTCATGTCTTTTTATAGCCAAATAATATACCACTGTATGGATACACCACATTTTGTTTATCCATTCATCAGATGATGTGCATTTGGGTTGTGTCCACTTCTTGGCTATTGTGAATAATGCCCCTATGAACATTCACGCACAGGCTTTTATGTGGACATGTTTTCCATTCTCTTGGATATATACCCAGGAGTAGAATTCCTGGATTATATGGTAATCACATACACAATTTTATCTGATCCTCACTGATGGTTTAGTTGCTAAGTCGTGTCTGACTCTTGCGACCCCATGGGCTGTAGCCCACTAGGCTCCTCTGTCCGTAGGATTTTCGAGGCAAGAATACTGGAGTGGGTTGCCATTTCTTTCTCCAGGGGATCTTCCCGACGCAGGGATCAAACCCAGGTCTCCTGCATTGCAGGCGGACTCTTTACCGCCTGAGCTGCCGGGGAAGCACTAATTCCTGGGAAACACGCAAATGTCAGGGTCTCAGTCCCCAAATCAGGAACCTGAGGCTCAGAATCTTCGTGCAGCTGAAAGGCCAGGCAGCTGATAGAGAGTCCAGACAGTTGAATTAAAAAAAAAAAAGATGTATTTCCAAAACAACACAGTATCACAAATAAGTAGATAAAAGAAAACACACTATCATTCTTTCTCTGTTCATCTCAGAACCCAAGGCACGGGGCAGGCAGAGGAGAGCATTGAGGAAGGAGAGCAATCTCTCACCTTGATACTCTCGTTGATGCGATTCACTAGCCAGTTGAAAAGGCGGCTGTAGATGTTCTTGGCCAGGGCATCCCGGGCGTACTGAGCCTGGAGGGCGGGCTGCTGGTCAGTGAGAGCCACAGAACAGACTCAAAACCCAGCCTCCCCCGAGAGCCCCTCACCTGGGTGACGTTCAGTGCGGTGACCACCTTTTCTCTGGCCGTTTCCATGGTTCTTGAGCACAAAGCTCTCTCTAGTTCCACTGAATTCAAACCCACCAACACCCCTATTTCTTGAACACCTGGGAATGATGAGGAAATAAAACACAGCCTGAGAGAGGGTTTGCTCCCAGGGGAGGAGGGAGGCGTGATACGTGAAACTGCCGGGGGCCTGCTGTTCCCGAGTCTTACTAGGAAAGTCCTTACAGCCCACCCAGAATACGGCCTTGGAGGAACATCTGGGGAGAAGGAGGAGGACAGAAGGGAGATCTTGACACTTTGTGTGTACCATCTCCTTTAATATGAGAATCTCCTGAAGTGAGTGTAACTGTCCCCATTTTTGCAAAGAATCCATTGAGAATTCACAGAGTCCCAGAACCAAGGTCTATGGAACATCCACACTTCATTCCAGTATGTCTCATAGGGCGTTCTGAATGAGCATGTTTGGGGAGGAACTCCTGAGCGGGCAGAGGGGGACTTGATCAGAGGGAGGTCTGTTATGCTGAAGACAGTGGGAGAACAGAAATTGCAGCAGGAGATTCAGGGAGCTGGTTGGGTGCAGACCTCTCCCATCACGGATGCCACTTGCTGGTACCCCGTTGGCCTGGAACTCGTTGACCAGCTCCACGTTCCCCAGCTTCAGCACCAGGGCTGCCACCTCTAGCACCTGCCGAATCTCCTCCTCGGAGAAGCCGATCACAGTCATTGCACTCTAGGGAAGAAAGGAGAGTTGGAAGCTGAATGTCAGGCCAGTCCAATGCCTGCCTCCCTTCCCCAAGCCAGAGCCTGGACTCAGGGCATGGCCGAATGGCCCATCCTGGGTACCCACCTGGAGAACCTTGAAGTTGGCATCGTCATCCATGCCATCCACCCTGGACGTGTCCGGGTTCAGGTAGGCATAGCCACCTGGGTCCCGCTCAAGCTTCAGGGCCTCTGCAAGGACCAGCATCAGGGGAAGGGTCAGTACCCGGGCTCTCTGAGTCCTCTGACCTTGACCCTCACGCCCCTTGCTCCAGGTTGGTTCACTCATTTATTCAGAGGAGCCGTTTTTGTTTTAGTTTCTCCCTGTGTCTTCTTTGTGTTGGGATCATTAATTCTTATGATTATAGACTACTTTTTAAAGTTGTATTTAGGGTTTGAAAGTGAAAGTCACTCAGTCATGTCTGACTCTTCACAACTCCATGGACTATACAGTCCATGGAATTCTCCAGGCCAGAATACTGGAATGGGTACCTTCCCCTTCTCCAGGGGATCTTCCCAAACCAGGGATCGAACCCAGGTCTCCCATACTGCAGGGAGATTCTTTACCAGCTGAGCTACCAGAGAAGCCCAAGAATACTGGAGTGGGTAGCCTATCCCTTCTCCAGGGGATCTTCCCAACCCAGGGATCGAACCAGGGTCTCCTGCATTGCAGGCAGCCTTACCAGCTGAGCTACCAGGGAAGTGGGTTTTCATGATCCTGGAGGTTCCCCCAACTTTTATGAAAGAAAATCCTCGTTCTACTCTCCTCTCCGGCCTCGGGGCTCAAACAGTAAACCCAGAAAAGCAAACCTGCCAGGCCACTCGGTTCTCAGTGGTTCCGGGAGGACCCAGGCAAGGGAAGAAGGGTGAGCACCTACCTCCCACCCACCCCCGGTCCCCACACGTGGCCCATCGCCCAGGTTGGGCATTCATTATTTGTTCCCAAAACACTGACCAAGTGGCAGACACTGTGTTCCCCACACCAGACCCCCTTTGGGAGGTTTCCTCAGGCTGGGGCTGAGCCAAAAGGCTCTCCTGCGTTCCACATGGTGCATCCCTACCCCAAACCACATCTCACGGAGTGGGTTTGGGGTTTTCTCCCTGTTCCTCTTACCAATGAGCAGCTTGTGTGTTGGGGCTGTGCTTTTCATCTTCATATTCTGCATGCCTGACTGGCATGCAAGAACTTTCTTTTAATAAATGAATCAAGGGAATGGGCAAAGCCATTCGCGGAGATGGGAAGGAAGGAGTTAATCATGGAGCTTGAATGGTATCAGTTATCTGTTACTCAAAAGATCTGAGGATTAGAGAGTGACTCTCAAAGTGGGGTTTAATGGCAGCTTCCCCTGAGACACAAATTTTGAAACAGGAGGCTGCTAGAGAGGAGCGTCTGGAAGGAGAATGAGTCAGAACGGCCCTGGGATGATGGCACCAGGAAGGGAGGCCCCACCCAGACTCAAATCGGGGAGCGAGAATCAGCCAGAGCAAGACTCCAGACAAATTGAATACAATCAAGACTATTAAACCAGGAGGGAAGGCGATGCCTGTGGGGGCCCTTAAACCATAGAGATCTCCAGGAGGGTGAAAGAAGACAGGCACAAGTCCAGAACAGAACAACCAGAAATCAAAGCCGTAAGTTCTTAGGCATCAGCTATCCACAGTGCCCACAGCCAGAGGTGGGAGTCTTGAAGAGTACCTTGGGCTGCAAAGAGATCAAAACAGTCCATCCTAAAGGAAATCAGTCCTGCATATTCTTTGGAAGGACTGATGCCGAAGCTGAAATTCCCATACTTTGGCCACCTGATGTGAAGAACTGATTCTCTAGAAAAGACCCTGATGCTGGGAAAGATTGAAGGCAGGAGGAAAGGGGGATGACAGAGAATGAGATGGTTAAATGGCATCACCGACTTGACGGACATGAGTTTGAGCAAGCTCTGGGAGTTGGTGAAGGAAGGATAGGAAAGCTTGGCATGCTGCAGTCCATGGGGTGGCAAAGAGTCAAGCACTACTGAGTGACTGAACTAAATTGGAGAAAAAGGAACCAAGGCAGTTCAGAGAAGTGAGTGGTGAAGGGGTAAGAAGGCTTATTCCTAGACTAAAACCCCAGAAAGGAAGAGAACACAGAAGTCAAGGGATTTGTTCCCAACAGTGGACAGGTGAGAATCAGGGTAGGAGTGCCCTGAGAGTCCAGGGAAGATGGCTTTAGGGATCCAGAGGGGCCCAAGGGTTCTGGGGCTTGAATGGAGGCTGAGGATGTTCTGCTGCATGTCGGGGGCTGGCACGTACTCAGTAGCTCTGCGTCTGCTCCCGCCAGGAGCTGATAGAAGATGTGGAAGTTCCTTTCTCCTTCAAGTTGCTTCACCACACGGGATTTCTCAAGCAGATCTGACAGAAGATTCGAAAATAATGTTCTGAGGATCTGGGACAAACCACAACTTCCCTCTAATTCCGTCCTAATCCCTGGTATTCCCAGCGGTTGGGAAGCCTGTTAGTCTAAACTTCCTCCTTCCTGCAGCGGTAGATTAGCAGAAAGGGACACCATGGGGTGTGTGGGAGAGGGGGTAAGTGGGGCGGGAGACACGTACAGTTTGTGATGACGCCACCGAGGGGGGATCCCTTGAAGTCAAACTCAATATCCATGTATTTTCCCTTCAGAGAGCAGAGAGAGAGAGAGACTTGGCTTCCGCCTTTTCTCATCACCCTGTCCAGGAGGCATCTGGGCCATGTTCCTCCCTCTCAAGACCCCACACCCTCTCATCCCAGGCCAAGGAGATGTTCACTCACAAATCGAGAGGAGTTGTTGTTGCGAATGGTCTTGGCATTGCCAAAAGCTGTGGAGATGAGGGGAGAAGGAGAAAGGGGGACGGTCCTCCAGCCATCAGGCCAGTCTCAGATTTTTCAGGCTGGACACGCACAGTGATCTCGGGAACACGGGGGGTTGGTGGGGGGGTTGGGGTGGGGAGGACAGAGGCCGGACTCCTCACCCTCCAGCACGGGGTTCGACTGAAGCAGCTGCTCCTTCACGGAGTTCACCTGCTCCCCTTTCCCGCAGACGGCCGCCACGTAAGACATCACTAGCTTACTAGCCTCTGCAAGAGAAAGCCCCGCGTGGATCCCCACCGCTGCCCTAACCTTCCTCATTGCAGCAACTCATCCCATCAGAGAAACCCAGGAAGGAACTTCAGGGCTTGGGGGCAGGCCTGGGTCTGTCTTGGAGACAGACAAGGAGGCAGCTCCTGCGGCGACCCCAGGGCGTCCCGGCCCCTCCCCCATGGCGTCCCGGCCCCTCCCCGGCGCCTCACCCGTCTTCCCAGCGCCACTCTCGCCCGTGATGACGATGCACTGGTCTCGGTCCTGGTCCCTCAGCGACTGGTACGCCATGCTTGCCAGTGCATAGCTTGCAGGGAGGAAGTGGGTGATGACTAGTGTGGGGTCAGCTCAAGACACCGTCTTTCACACGATCCCCAGACTCATCCGCCCTCCCCGCACGGACCAGACCGTGCAAACAGCTGGCCTAGTAAGAGGCCTCCAAAGGGCCCAGGGAGGAAGGGGCAGCTGGAGAGCCTCCTTCGGGAGAAAGGATGGAGGAAATGAGGATGTCTCCTCACGACGAGCTAGGCCCTATCACCTTCCCCTGGTGCCTCTACTCACATATGGGGCTTCAGCTCGTAGAAGGTATAGTCCCGGTATTTGGTGACAAACTCCAGGTCGTAGATGGGCAGTGGTTGGTAGGGATTCACCGAGACCAACACATTCCCAATGTAGGTCTGCAGTTGGGGGAGATGATGGACGAGCCAGGGTGGGTCTGGGAAAGACCCGGGGACTCTCTGGCCACACATCCACAGCCGGGGACACCCATGGGCACTCACATAAATCTCCTTCTTTTCATAGCGCAGCTGGAGGTTCTTGATCAGAGACTCCTGCTCCAGGGGTTCCAGGAGCACAAGGTCCTCCACCCCCACAGAACCTTCCAGAAGGGTCATGTCCAGAGGCGCTATTGGTCGGGATCAGTTTGCTGGTGTCTGCTCAGCTTTCGCGGCCAGTAACTATGTAGGGGAGGAAGGCAGAAGGACCTAAGCGACCCTTCCCCTCCCCCTAGTCCTGGCCCCGGAGAGAGCCCCTGGCCAGCTGGAAGAGGTCTCCAGACCAGCCGAAGCTAACTGTGGAGATTGCAGGGAGGCCGGGGGTGGGAGGGAGCCTCCGCTCCCTGAATTAGGGTTGGTGGGCGTGGCAGGACCACCTGCCTCCAAGCCCCAGGGTAAAGAAGGCCCCCAGTAGGTGGCAGTTGGGGGGGGGCATCCTTGTGCTGCAGGGGGCAGGGCTGGGGAGGAAAGGGAAGCAAGGCTCCCTCCCTCCAGCACTGAGGCCCCAGCCTGGGGCCAGGTTCCCTGACTCTGTGCCCCGTCTCGCTCCCGACTCCCTGCCTCTCACCTGGCACACCCATACTCATTTCCAGAATTGCTCCAAAGTTTTCCCTCCCCTCTCACTGTTACAGTGAGATTCATTTTTTAAATGGGGCCTGGACAAGGTGATGAGCCCCAGGACAGAGGCAGGAGCTCCTCCATTAAAGGCTGGAGTGCCCCAAAGAAAATGAAAATGAGATTTGTTTTCCCCAACAAGCAAGCAGCAGCGGTCGGGGAACTTTGGATGTGCCTCCTTGTCTGTCCCCGTTTTTCAATCTAGATCTCCAGCGTTTACATCCACCACTTAAGCTTCTGGCATGGACTTTGCCCCAGAGGGACACACCTAGCTTTTCAGTAACTGGTGGGAACCAGCAAGGAAAGCAGAGTGGGAGAGGCTCGTCCCCAAACGGTAGGCACACGGCAGGTGCTCCCGAAGGAGGAAACCCAGCCCTCCTCAGTCTTGCTCGTGGGGCTGAGTAGGCGGGCGCCCTGGTGCGGGACAGAGCCACTAGCCCAGTGGTCAGTGCCACTCCCGAACAGGAGTGAAGCAGCCACATCCTGCTCTCCTGCGTCGCTGAACCTGAGTGGGGGAGGGGGGGAGGCCAGAAGGGCAGTGGGGCAAAAAGGGAGCACAGGCCGCCCTCTCCCTCCGCTCTGCGTTCTCCAAGCTCCAGGAAAATTGAGCGCTTGTCACTTCCTGTAAAGTCACAACCGAGGGAGCTACGAGAATACCGATTGCAGCAGCCAACAGCGATCAGGTAGTAAATACTATGGGCCAGGCAGGCTCTGAGGACTTGACACATACTCATTCATTTGCTGCTTACAGTATCTCCAGGAAGCAGGTACTATCATCGCCCCACATTTTCTCGATTTGAGAAAAAGTTAAGATTTTAAATAACTCGGCAGGCAAGGTAAGAAGCAGAAGCAGGGCTGGGAAGAAGGCATCTTTGGATTTAGGTTTGAAAGGAATGAGAATAGGATTGGTTGGAGGCTGGGGCGCAGGGGAGAAGCCCCCACATAGGGCACCCTCAGATATGAAAAGAGGAACCGGTTACGGCGGGACTCACCCCACGCTGGAACCAGGGTGTGACTTCAGCGTCAGAGAATGGTAGATGAAATCCCAGTGTGACAGGAAGGGGGCATAGGAGTCCCAGGCCCCCAGGGTGCAGAGGCGTCCGCCTTAGTGGGAGCTGTCCATGGTGTCGGGAAGGGAGAGATTCTGCCCCACTCCAGCCCGCGTCCACAGTGCTGACTTCCTCTGTCCTGCCTCCTCCAGCCGGGGCTCCCCCTGCCAGTCAAGCCGGGCGAGGCAGAGCCGGCCGCTCCGCACAAAGTCCGAGGCTGCTCCTGCTGAGGGTGTGGCTCGCTTAACCCTTCACAGGCCTGCAGCCCCAGAGGGAAACGCCTGGCCTCAGGACAAAGCCTGCTCTGGGTAGGAAAGCGTATCTGGCCGGCCTGAGCTGAGGGGTTGAAGCGGGGTTCTGGCTCCACCGCCCCCCACATTTGGAAATGAGGGCAGAAGGAGCAGACTTTACTGCCAAGGAAAAGCTCTCTTGAAATCAGGAATTTTGTCAAAGAGGAAGATAGGCTGCGGCATCTTCTGACCAAAGAAATAGCACCTCCCTCACACCTACCCTTCTTATCGTATTGGGAGCCAGGGTGTATTGGTGACACTGTTGGAGGAACAGACAAAGGCAGACAAAAAAGCAGACAAACCCCCAAGTTTCTGTTTGCCTCCAAGTTAGGGATGACACCCAACGTTGCATTTATGGTTCCACTGAACTCCCATGGCTGCCTTCTCACTGTGTTACCCCACCGTGAAGTGGGCAGTGCAGAATCGCTCCCCCAAAAAGGAGAACGACAGGCAAACACAGAGGCCCAAAGAGGTCACACGATGTGCCCCAAGTTCTGCAGACAGCGCGTGGCAGAACCGGAAAGAGGACGCAGCTTTCTGAGCCCAAGCTGGCCAGAGATTCCGGCGTGGGCCAGTTCTGCTCTTTCTCTCCATACTCCTTCTTCTGTGCTAGAATACTGAGTGATAGCCTGGGTGCTGTTTCCTGGGCACTAGCTCAGCTGGAAATCACTGCCTCCACTAGACAAAAAGCATATAAAATCCCCTTTGCCACGGTACCTCTTCATCCACCCAGGAAAATTCCTCAACAGCAGGCTCCCGATCCCACCATCCTCCCTCCCAATAATGCATAAAGAGCAAATCAGGTAATCACAAACACTTACCTGAAGATAGAGACTTGATTCTCCAACTCCCAGCCACAGCTGCTTGGCTCAAAGTCCACACTCTATTGCTCTCATGGCACTCTGCGAAAGCCTGGCCCATCAGCAATTCCATTATGAACCTGCCCTTACATAATTTATTGACCTACTATATATATTTGGAGGGGGGAAATGGCAAGAGGCAAGAAAGAAAGAGAAAGCTGGGTCGAAGTGACATCAGAACATAATTCTGTAGACGGGTAGAGCTGTATCACAGCAGAGGCAGAAGTGACTAAGGATCCCCTCTTTTGCAGTGGAGGAGATACCTAGAGTGGGAAACCACTTTTCCAGGATCGTACCATCGCAGACCTGGCAGAGCCAAGACCAGAACCCAGGCCTCACGTTCTCCAGGCCAGGAATCTGCAGCTGCCAGCAGTGAGGTTCATGCATGTTCACCATGGACTTGTTTATTGCGTGTCTACTTTGTGCTCCCATGAGAGAATTGACTCTAAAATGAGATAAGAAAACTCAGGCTTAGAAGAGGGCATGAATGTCATAGCTAGGGTGACCAACCACCCTGGTTTGTCTAGGATCTGAGATGAGTTTTCTGGACATGAGTATTTGAGTGCTAAAACCCAGAAAGTTCTTAGCAAACAAGAACAAGTGGGTCAGTCTAAATTAAGAAGGTACAAAATACACCCCTGACGCAGCTGGGATTAGAAGATCTGTCAGCATTCTTGGGGTGGGGAGGAGACCCAGGGGGATGCAGGATCCTGATCTCCTGCTTCTCAGGAAACCTGAAGCAACTGGAGCTTAAATTCCCTTCCTTCTCCCAGTAAAATTTCTAGTCTGTGTAAGGGACATGAGGGAAGTTTTTGGGGTGATGGAAATGCTCTAGATCATGAGTTTGGCGGTGGTTACAACTGTTTCCATTTGTCAAACTCAGTAAAATTTAAAACTAGTGAATTGTATCATTTTATAAATTATACTTCAGAAAGATGGCAAAGAAGAACTAGAAGCAGCAGCCATTCTAAACCCTTGGATGCTGATTTCTGAGTTGAGAAGACAGCAACCTGCCCTCACACTTGCTGAATTCGCACTCACTGGTCCTCCCAGGGACACTTCTTAAAAAGTGACACAATAAAAAGATATGGTGGAGAGGATATTTGGTGGTAGAGGGTCTTCTGACTCTCATCAATTATCAGGTATCAATTAGTAACATTGATCAAGTAGAGTTGACATTTGAACAATATGGGTTTGAACGCCCTAATTCATGTACAGATTTTTTTCATTAAGTACATATGGCTACTACATGATCCATGGGTGGCTGAGTCTGCAGATGTGGGATGGCAGGTACCGAGGCCCATCAACTGTAAAATTATAGGATAAGCTTTGATTGGATAGAGGCACCTAACCAATGTCCTCCTCCTCAGGCTGTTGAAGAGTTAGCTATACTTACCACGTGCCAGGCAACAAGTAGAATGCTACTCAAAGTGAGGTCCACGGATCAGCAGCATCTGAATTACCTGGGAGCTTATTAGAAATGCAGAATCTTGGGCCTCAACCCAGACTTACTGAATCCCAAGTCTGCAGTTTAACAAGTTCCCCAGATGATTCCTATGCATGTTGAAGTTTGAAAGGAACTAATTTTACACATCTTTTTTTATCCTACAATCTTACAAATCTGGCAATTATGCTTTTTTACTAATTCAACCGCTGATGATCATCCAATGGCTCTTATTTACCTATGTGGGTTATAGAATGAAAAGATGTCATCACCGTGCATTGATCTACATAAATTCACAGACGGTCCACATCCTGTTTCCATCCTATTTCATGGTCTTTAAAAAACGGACACTAGATCTCCATGTGGCCCGAATAAGAGGTGGGTACAGAATTAATGTAAAGTCTAGAATGGATTCCCAGAGCAAAGAAAATAGCCAAAACAGAAAATGGAAGGCACCAGTCTCCTTCCTACTGCAGAAGCTGGGCCTAAACACAGTTGAAGTTTTTATTCCATGTCCCCTAATACTCACTACACGAAAGCCCGGCTCCCTTTCACCTGACAGAAAGCTCTTGGTGGGTATCTCACAGCTGGATCCTCACCTCAGTGGAGAAAAGGAAGATACTTTATACCATTAAAAAAAAAAAAAAAAAAAAAGAATTAGAGTATAAAGTAGCTCCCTGGACCAGGAATAAGCTATGCATTGTTTTCCTATGAGACAGTACAGTGGTATAACCCTCTGCTCCTACAGAATACCTCTTAGAGATCTGGCATCCTGGAAACCATTCAGTCCAAGGAAGTAGACCAAGGCAGACCCAAGATGGGAAGGAAGCAGTGGTTTATTTTTTAAATATTTTTTATTTGGCTGCACCGGGTCTGTTTTGGCACGTGAGGTCTTCGATCTTCATTGGGGCATGCAGGTTCTTTAGTTGCAGCATGCAAGATCTGCTGATAGTTCCCTGACGAGGGATCAAACCCAGGCCCCCTGTCCAGGGAGCATGGAGTCTCAGCCACTAGATCACTAGGAAACCCCAAGGGAAGAGGTGGTTTTAAAAAAAAAGAAAAGAAATAACATGCAAAACACCTGTCTAGAAAGATGAAACAGAAGAGCTAATTGCTGATTACCTGAAAACAAGAGCTCCTAGCAACAAAAGTACATGTTCGTTAAGAGAAACCACTACATAGTATATAAAACTTTATTAAAATTGGGATTACTTACAAACTTGTACAATAAAAATGAAAAAATATATAATAAGACATTGCTTATTTTTCTTACAGAAAAGAGTGAAAATGAGACCCATGGCAAAGAGTCATCCCTGATCATTTTGTTCCTTTCAAACATTCATTAACACTTATTTTAAATATAAATGACAAATCTTTTAAAATAACACTAAGGCATTACCCACAGGCTAAAACTTACCCAGGAACTGCCTATTTCACCATCAATCCTAGAAACATGATATACTGAGGCAACTGCAGGCTGTAACAGTTCTAATCCTCACGTTAAGAGCTACCTATTTTGTTAACAAGTTCAGAACATTGCCCATGTTGTAGAAAAAGGCAGAGAGAGTGATTTCACCATTTTCAAGTTACTGTCAAGAGTGTGAAGAGGATGGCGATGCACATGGGCACGGGGTGTGGGAGCCAAAAGCCCCAAATGTCCTTCCTTCCCTGCTAAAGCTGTGCATTGACACTGGTGTGAATTCCCTTTGTTTATTCCCAGCAGGCTTCTGGCTCCCATCATATAAGGCACCAAACTCCCTTTTCAAGTTAATAACTCTCTAGAATCTACCTCAACAGCAACTGAATCCATAAGCTAAGTTACCAAGAGACGCCACTGGGTCACCACAATTGCATAGGTTTCCCTAAAAAAATAATGATCAATTTCTGTTACATCAAAAGATAAACAAAAAGTTTTCGGTGCACTTGCCTTGTACAATGGCTATTTTATGTTTATTACTTTGTTTCAGTGCCTATGTAACATGAAGGAATAATAAATCTGTCAAACTGTCCTCTCCTTGGTTCAGATAAAATTCTTGGCATTTCAATATAGGTTATTATCTCATATGTCAGACCTGAGTCCAAAGGAATACTAGGACATTTAATTTCCTTTCCTCCTACTTCAACCTCCACTACTCAATTCAGAGAAAAGTTATGAGTACATAGCTAGGAACCATTTTTACAGAGGCATCCATCTGAGCCCATCTTTTTTTCTGGAACAACAAAAAGATTAAGGGCAACTGCATAATTCATTCCCAAGCCTTTTACGGAAATCAGGGCCTGGGGAACTATCTAGCCCATTTGGGTGCTTTCTCATCAACTGTCTATCACACATGCAAAGTGGGGCTTGGGTTGAAGGGAACACAAGTCCCTGAAGAAAAGGCTGGGCCCGAGAACGGAATGTATCAGCACAAAATGCAACACTGCTACTCAAAAGTCTATCATCAGCAACATTCTGCCACAGAATACGCAAGTCATGACTTTAGGGGGAGAAATAAACTAGTTTTGGGGCATGAAGTGGCTGATAGGAATTTCTTACTTGAAGGTATCAAAAGTGCTGAATTTTCCTTATTTTCAGTCATTGGTTCCATTGGTCTCATGAAAGCAATCCGAGCGGGAAAGTGAAGGGAAAGTGTTTTAAGCCAGTTGACTTGTGCTCCCATTAACGGGAGGCATGCTCTATATAACTTGATCAGATCCATTAGAGGCCATAGATTTCTGATGCTGATGAGACCCTGACTCCGAGGGCCAATTTGCAGCTTGATATTTGTGGAGTAAGATGCTGACGTGGCGGCGGACGAGGGCTCCGATGTCCAGCTCACTCCAGTTACCCGTGCAGCCCTTCCTGACGAGGTCGGTCTGAGACACAAGACTATGCTGAAGCTGCAGGAGCGGCACCGCCAGAGAAAATTCCACGAGGGCCTCAGGCAGCGACTGAGCCAACAGACAAGCGGCCGAGCAGCTCCTGACGCTGGACGAGCCGGCAAGCCCCGGGCACGCGGAGGCTCCGAGGCGTCGGGGAAGAGCCGCGCGGAGGGCAGGGCAAGGACACGAGGCGCGGCGGCCGCGGCGGCCCTCGCTGTCTGAGAGGCGCTCTCGTGACAACGCGACCTGCTGTCGTTGGCGCTGCCTACAGCGCGGCTCTCCAACTTCCAGACAGGGAGTAATAAACCGAGTTTGATTTCACTCACCCCGAATTCAAACAGTGAGAAAAACTCGTCTTGAGATGGAAGTGGTATATCACAAGGAGTTTACTAAACAGAAGAGACGAGCATCTTTCTCTACTTCACAGCGCGTTCCCACTGAAATAAAGACAGGTGTCAGAAGTATCAGCCTAGAGGAAGTGACCGTATCCCTAAGTGGCCATGTGGGGAAGGAACCAAAGGCTCAAGGGAACCCTGAGACCACTTGTGCAGCCACATTATTTTTTCAAATCAGCTTATGCTTAAATATGCCAAGTTTCAATTTCTATAAATGAGGCAAAAAAAAAAAAGTATAACTCAGAAGCCTTGATAGTTTTCTGCAGAGGGATATAATGCTACCATGTACATAACTACAAAGGTAGAAAGGTTTCCTAATGTAAAGCATTCCAACCCATGTCATCTGTCCAAATACTGTTTATCTTCCACTTGAGGCAGTTGTCACTTCAGGACAGTCTAAAGCTGTGGGAAACACTGGCAGAAAAAATCGACTGGCCACCTGGAGGGGAGTCCCACAGCCGACATTCTGGAAGCCAGTAACGGAGCCCAGAGCCTTTCCAAATTATCTGTTAAATGGGTGGCCTGAAGGAGTCATTCATTGCAGATTTTTAACAAAAATCATCTGCCTTCTTCACGACATGGTAAGTCAGTCAGTTAAAAGCTATGCTCCTGCCATCAGTGTCTATCTTCCTGGCTAAAGTAATTACAGCTTTTTCCATGGTGCAAGGGTGAAGATCACAAAGACAGAACCAAGTGAATGACAGAGACTTGGGAATTTGCTCCCTCATAAATAGCGTTGCTGGTTTATAAGGGTACTTTCCAATGGCAAAAGAATGTGAAACCAATGCCACTGTAATAAAAGGCAGCAGGAACCTCTGGTCAGAAATGGAATTGCAAGTAAGTACAAGAGGTTCATAGGAAAGCACATCTGACCCTGATGGCTGTGCAAGCACCCAGAGGCACAAGGATGGTCTGGAAGCCTGTCTCCTGGCAATGCAAACTGTGGCAGCCACATAGCTACAACATGTATGTCGCATCAAGAGCCTTCATAGGTAGTTTCAGGGCTCACAAATGAGCCAGGCTTCCCGCAGGGAGAGGGACAGGTGGAAGCAAAGACCATTAAGAATAGGTATTAATAGACAGGTAGACAACGAGAGGGGAAGGAAAAGGAGCTAATTTCATGACCCCACAACAATTCAAAGATGTGTGACCAGTGGACAGGAAAATAAGAGAACCTGTAAAAAGCATTTAAGTTCCCGAAATAAGATCACTTCTCCTAATTAGTGGGAATAATGCTATAAATCAAAGAGAGACTATAAGAAATAAAACAATCTGAAATGTACATACTCAGACGTGAGAGAATAGACCATTCTTGAAAGGGCAAAGGGAACAAAGAGGAACTGGAAGGGATGCCTGAAAGCCTATTTGGAATTGGAAGTTAAATACTGGGTTGGCCAAAAAATTTGTTTCCATAAGGAGCTTATGNAAGAAATAAAACAATCTGAAATGTACATACTCAGACGTGAGAGAATAGACCATTCTTGAAAGGGCAAAGGGAACAAAGAGGAACTGGAAGGGATGCCTGAAAGCCTATTTGGAATTGGAAGTTAAATACTGGGTTGGCCAAAAAATTTGTTTCCATAAGGAGCTTATGGAAAATCCCAAACTTGTTGGCCAATGCAATATAATAAAACCCCCAACAGAGCTCATCTACAGAAGCGCCTGCAGGCATGTTCCTAAAGTAAGCAGGACTTAGAATATCATAGGTGTGAGAATTAACTCAAAGTTCAGGACAAGAGTTACTGGGGCTTTAATGGACAACCCATATTAATAAATATGTGGGAGGCTGGTCACTCTGGAGCACCTGCTAGTGCTGGAACATAGTTTCACTTTTTAAAATGTATTAATTTAAAAAACAAGACAGGCAAATGATAATCCATTTTCCTCCTAGAACAGTTAAAACAGGATTATGCTAAAGTCACTGAAATGAAAGCAGAAGTAAGAGGCTCAGATTTGTGGATTTGTCTCTGAAGATGTGGCCATAGTCTGAAAGCATGAATTCACATGTAACAGGTATCACTTCCAAGTCTGAAGTGCCACACTGAGCCAACTTCAAAGAGGAACTGGACTGCCCTGGGCGAGTTGTGGCAATCCAGTTTCTCCGGAAACAAAAACGTGGGCTGAGAGCTGAGCCAACGGGAGGCACCGGGAAGCAGCCACTATGTTATCCGCTCTGCTTCCTCGGGAGCCCCCCGAGGCCCCACCGAGACCACTTCCAGAGGGAGGTCTACTCAGGCCTCTAGTTTCCGTGGAAGAATTCCTGCAGTCCCTCACCCGGCTTCAAAGACTTGAGAAGCAACTGTACACCAAACACAGGCCGCCTGGGCCGCCGAGCGGCGGTCAGTCCACCCGAGTCAGGGAGTTGTTCTGCTGCCCGGGGTACCGAGGATCGGAATCCTCCCCCTCGGAGGACGTTTCTTCAGAGAGCTCGTCCTGGGCAATAATGCTCCCTAGGCCATACTCCTGCTCGTGGACAGAAACCTCATTGGGTGTAAGGTGGAAAGAACCTTCCACGAAGTCAGCAAACCTGGAAAAGAGAAGATAATACTCATTTACTCATTAGAAGCTGCCTTCCACCCTGTTTTCTTTCTAAATAAGAAAAAATTTAAACCTTGATGTGCTCTCAGCTCAAATGATATTGAGCCTAGCTCCCAGCCTTCTCCTTACTCTGGCAGGTAAGTAGACTAAAGCAAGAAATAAGAAGAAAAGGAAAACTAGGATCGTAGGCTGACATTCCCCGCAACACCATCCCGCTTAACAAGCACTTTCAAGTTATGGAAGTTTGCTTACCCTTTTTAGTCATGGAAGTGCTAAAGTTCCTTCAGTTATCTGTAATCTTTGATAAGATTAAGGAGCATTACACATTTATTTGTGTTTATGGCCCTATAAACTTTATGCCATCAAGATTCCAAATTGAAGTTTCATATATTCACTGGTATGACTGCTTCCAAATGAAAAGATCCCTCCCCCCTCAAAAAATATATTAAACACTCAGAGAGCAACTCAAAACTGTAAGAGAGGAAACTTAATATCATACTAGTCTTCTCATTTCAATGCTACCATCAAAGTTAGAGTAAATAGCTCCTTGAGGAATCAGAAAATGGCTGCGGCTTAACATATGATATAAGCACTTTTCCCTTGACTACTCCTAGAACAAGAAAACAAAGCCACAAATACAAACTGATTATAGGAAAATAATCTCTGTTAAAACTCTAGGGTCATGATTACCCCGACAGATGCCTGGTACTTCGGGCCAAGAGTTTGTTTACCTCTTTGGAGACTGAATTCGAGAAACAGTCTTCCAAGCTGAGCAGTCTGGACTGTTGCAGTATTCTCTAAGCTGCTCTAAAGCCTTTCGGGTCTCCACCTCTCCTTGTAGCCGATATTCTTCTTCTGTCAGAAGACGAGGGGGAACAGTCTTTTCTGTTGCTTTACACATCTTTCTGTGCTCACCAAAATAACATCATGAATGATTAATCAGTAATCTGTGTCCATCATTATCTCTTAACTCCCTTCAGTGGGTCAAGCATATAGCAGAGAGCCTAAATCATTAAGAGTCATTGCTCCCACCTTTATTCCACAGACATCCCTAGTTATAATGGACCCTGACACATTAGCCTTATTGACAAGTCAGAGCAGTCAATACTATTCACTGACGCCAGAATAAATTCACTTAGAAGTGATAGACAAAGTATATGTTTCCCAATAAATGGAAAACTACAAGAAAGTGATGGCATAAGATTGTGGTGCATTAACCTGGACCCCCCCATGAAGAGAAGGCATTACTTTGACTATCTGTACTAGAAAGAAAAACCATTGATAACCTCAGAACCTATGACCGTTCCATGGTCACCAGGTAAAAGTGACCACATGCTTGAATTACACCTTAAACTAAGACTAGGACTCCCAGAACAGTCTGAAAGGCAGTGTGACATAATCCGAAACCAGGAGACTGAGGCCTGTGGCATAAAAGTGATATACTTTGCACCACCTAGTGGTAACAGGAACACATGACACTTTACTAGATGTTTTTATTTTATATAAAATGATTAGAATTTATAAGTTCTTTAAAATGTCTACAGAGAATCTAAAAAGAAAGACTTGAAAGAAACACAAGTGAAACATAATACAATAAATGGACACTAACAAAGAGGCTCCCAGGTCCAAACCTCTGTTTCCTTTCGCTGCAACTGCAGCCCACACTGCATGCTTCAGGACAAAGTCGCATTGCCTCCCAGTCACCTGTAGGTGATGTACAGCCAGTGAATAGGGTACTCCAGGTTCTTAGAACACAGTGCAGTGACGATAACGGCAAGGGCAACGTGTGGTATCTGGATGCCGGAATACATGAAACACAGGCCCAGCAGCTGCAAGGTCCAGGTCAGCAGGTTGATACTTCGTTCATTCTCCAAAGGCCCATACTTGTAACAGACTGCAAAACTCATGAACCCAACTGCGAGGACATAGCCTATGAGAAGAGTTATCAGAAGACATTCTTTTTTCATCTACAACTGGTAGAAATATCCTGTCTGGGGAACAGCAGTAAATTCACTATATAGCACCCACTGAACCAGGAAAATGGATAAGATCTTTACTCAATTATTCACACTTCCTTCATTATTCACATATATTAATCTCTTTTAAGTTTCCATCATTTCTGTTGTCTCAAACTTATTTAATTCTCAAATGGGGAATTAAAGCTACATGTTGAACAATTCTAAAATAGTCTGTTTCAAAAACCTAATATATGAAAATCCAAATTAATTCCTTCTCAAAGGATAGATTAAGAGTTACTATCTTTACAACCAAAGGATTCTTTTCTTGTTTTACAGATAGTGTTCACTGTAGAGTCCTTTACTTAAGGTCTTCAAGAGAATTTAAAATATGATTATATTCAAAAAGTCAATTTACAGCTTTTCAAAAAGATGCCTATGCATAAAGAGATGTACTTATAAACCCCAACAAAACAGTCTTCTCCCTAGCAGCAGCATCTTCATTGAAGAAAAGGTGACAACTGTAGAGTTAGAAATAAAAACTATGACCCTTACGAGTTAATAAAATGCACAGACCATTAAACTCCATAAGCAGGCAACATCTTTTCATGATCAAATTAACTAAAACAGCCTATAAACATATAAAAAGGAAAGCAAAACCAATAACACTTACTTAAAAGATACTGCCAGTAACACCTCCAGATCTCTTGTAAATTTTTAAAAACTAGCTGAATGAGGTATAGAGAAAAGGACCAGCCTCCTACCAGGATGATGTAAATGGGACTTTTCTAAAACAGAGTAGAAGTGAAAGCAAAAAGTTACAACAGGTTTTCCCTACATACAAGAAGCAAAATGGAACCGCGATTTAAAAAAACAAATTCAACCTACTAAAAATGCACAAAACATCTCTCTTAAAAATATGTACTTTACACTTAAAATGATACAGTCTGCAAAGAACACTGGGGAAAAGATGCTAAATAACTTAAAAGTCTGGCTATATAACATATATAATTAATAAACAGGAAAAACATTTTAACCACCCCCTCCACACACACACTGTACACAGGATTTCAAATAAAAAGGGAGAGATTGTATGTCATCAGGCTCCAAGTTTCATCACGGAAAGTATCTTTCTGAAACGAGGAAAGAGTAGGATATTGACTTATCAGCCATCAATGCAAATTTTCAGTGCTGTAAGATTATCCAAGAAAACAGTCTTTCATCTATCCAAGCTCATTCTAACTGCATGTGAGGATTTTGCCACTTACCTTGGGCATAAACTTGGACACTATAAAAATGATGATTAGTAAAGAGGCCACAATTCCCACACTCATCCCAGTAGAATAGTAGAAGATTTGACTTCTGCAGAGAGAAAATTCATTTCATTGCTACGTTTGTATTCTTCACACATGGCACTGTTCAAACCAGACCACAATCCCAGCCAAAAGGTAGAAAAAAGGTACGAGCTGAGAACAGGTATTTGCTCAACGTTTGAGGGCAGAAAACTAAAGAGACCAGTACAGTGTAGTTGCTGCCAAATTATGAGGATCAGTACCAGTGACGGCCCCTCAAATACACCCCAACAAGCTCTGCTTAGTCTCCAGCTCCCATCCCCAGTACTGCTCCCCACCCAGCTTTTAATGAGACTCTTTCTTCTGAGAACTGCACAGATTCTCTGGGGAGAAAAAAAGGGATAAGAGGACTGCCAAGTAGAAACTAATAACAAGAACTGAACTGCTTATCCCAAAGGGCATAGAACAGAGAGTCTAGGCTCTTTCTGCCAAATACCCCTCCTTCATTTTGAATTTCTCTCAGGATCCCCAAAATAAAGAACAACTTCCAACAACCTCACTCCAGTTGAACTTCAATTGGTTAAGCTTTCATTCACTACTTCACAAATATTCTCCTTGTATACGAAGTTCGTGTTGATTCTACCTCTGCTGAATGTTTGTTATCTGTGTGTGGGGGGGTTAGTCACTTAGTCCTATCTGACTCTTTGCAACCCCATGAACTGTAGCCCGCCAGGCTCCTCTGTCCAAGGAATTCTCCAGGTAAGAACACTGGAGTGAGTTGCCGTGCCCTCCATCGGGGGATCGTCCCGACCCAGGGACTGAACCCAGTCTCCTGCACTGCGGGCGGCCTCTCTACTATCTGAGCCACAGGGAGACTACACGCTCCTTTGTGTTTGCACATGCCTGTCTCACCGACCTTAGCTAGCGGGTTTCTACAGGCAGGAAGTGAGTTAAGTGATTGATCCCTGCTTCTTTACTTCTGAACAGCACGAAACTCACCCTGTAAAATGTAAAACCCGGCCCTGTAAAAACGAGGGCTAAACATGGCTAATGGGAGAAGGGTGGTGATATACTGGCTAAATCCCATCACATGATGGGTGACCTAATGGGGGAATTTCATTATTGCCAATCTTATTAACACAAGAAAAAATAGAAATAATAACACACATGAAAGTATTTTTTAATGACTGAAGCAGGTAATGACTTAGCCCATCCATAAAGGGAATGGCAGCACTTTAAGACTTCATGATAGAAGTCAAGCGGGGTAGGTCTGAGCATCCTCATTCCGCCCTCTAGCCTTAGAACCTACCTGCTCAACAAGTCTCCACAAAAAAATAGTGTAAATCCAAGGAGGAAAATGAGGAAGAGTTTGGGGTCAAATCCTGAAATAAATAAAATATTTCTGCTTAACAAGGGAACCAAGCAATTTAAAGCATTACAGAATAAAAGGCAATGTTGGCATCACTGGTCAGCTAATAAATGCAAACAGCCCACCTAAACAGCATTTTAACAGCATTCCACACAAAGCTTGGGCACCCTTCCAAAGAGAAAGTATAATTAGGTCTCCGTCTAACCTATACTTCCCTGAAGAGTTTATTTTGTTTTGGCTACCTACGCTAAGGCTAAGAGAAGCGAAGTTCTGCATTGGTTGGAGCCATGACACCATCAGCACTTCATGCAATTGCCCACAAGGGGTCTCCACCACCCTGGTTTTCAAGCCTTAAGTCTCACAGGCTCAGATTCAGCCGATTAGCCCAGAACTCTGGGCCAGGGCCCTCTGTTGTTCTCTAAGAGGCTGCTTTTCTTGAGCAAGACCACCACCTACTTCTTTTGACAGTATCTGAGCACTGTGCTGCTAAAGCCTACACTCAATCCGATCGCCCAGGGCCGGGGGCCCAAGCACAGGTCCCGTACGGGGGCACCAGTCGCTCCCACGGCTTTCACATTCAAATTACGTCTAGGGGAGGCCCACAAACAGGAGCAAGAGGGATCATGAAATGCAAAAGGAGGCTGATCCTGCTCAACCAAAGAACTATGGAACTCTAGGACAGTTAGAAGCGCACAACAAATTTCGTAGCGAAACCCGGAAACATTTCTACTGCTCACATTACTCTCCTGGGAGAGTAGTTACCAAGAGACCAAAAGTCATAGAGAATTCAGCAGGATAATGATCTGCCTCTTCTGTGAAACTTTCTCAGATACATCCAGAGAAGGGAAAACTCCCAGTTATACTAAATAAGCCTGAAACTGCAATGATCTTCATATTTATGGTTCCACTTATATTCTTTTGCTTGTGAGGTATTCAGGTTTACTTTACTTTCAGTTTAACCATTCATGTTTTTAAATTCAGGCTGAAATACACAGGCCTACAGGTAAAGCGCCCAGAAGACTGTATCTATCTAACCCTGAAGAGCGCTGGGTGTATCAGCTCAGAGCCACCGCCAAGTGCTCAGAGCGCAGACCTTCACCACCCACGTACGGGAGCGCGCAGGAGGAGGGACGCGCGGTGAAGTCTCGGACCTAGACCTGAAGGCTTTTATGAGGGGTGGAGTGTCTCTGCGGTGTTGGGAGCAGTGGTATATTCCGGTTATAATCAGAACCAAGACGGAGCTGTCTTGGGCTGGCTTCTCTCACTAATTATACCCTCCAAAGCTCGTCTCTTCTCACACAGAGTCCACCAGAAGAAGAGAGGTGAGACTTACTCCGAGTCACAATGACACTGTATTTGGTGTCTTCCTCTAAAATCTCAACTTTGAGGCAGGTTTTTCTGCTGTACAGACCCACATTAACATAGGTGTCATTCAATTTCTCTTTTAAAAAGGAGGAAAAAAAGTTCCAGATACTAAACTGCTCTAGCTCCTTCAGTTTCTCTTCATTCTCCACCTGGGTGACTCGGACCAGTTTGGAACTATTTACCCGGATCTGTAACTCAAGCAAAATCAGAATGAGAAAGAAGGAAGTAGGAATTTAAACTTTTCCCAAATACAATTTGTTAAAAAAAAAAAAAAAAACTTTAGCATAAATAGCTGAATCATTCATGGCACTGGCTCTTCACAGGCTTAAGAGAAATATGGAGAGAAAAGATAAAAGCAGCTAAAAGATAATGGGGCAATAGCACTGCACATGGCCGAGAGGAAGCTGTGAGAACATCTTATTGTTAATATGGGCTCAATCTACTGTTAGGCTAGAACATAGGGGTTAAAAAAAAAAGACTTCCAAGCTGAAAGAGTTACCAATACAGGTATTTATGAGAGATTATACAAAGCAAGGGTCCAGAATATAAAGAAAACTGCCAGGCATAAACAGCACCAAAAATGTTTCCCATAACGACAGGCTGATAAGTTCAACCCTTTGTCACAAATTACTGATTATGGGTAAATGTTGGTTATAATGTGCCCCAGATGGAATATGATCTTTATATCAAACAATGAAAAAAAGAATTTTTTGAAAAAGCCCACCCTTGTGTTTTCAGATGTGAACAAATGCCCTGATCAGTGACTATGCTTATAGCAGCAGAAACATTTCCAAAGGACTCACTTTGTTTAATCAGTATAGCCAGACACGCTTGCTTGCCAGGTGGCTCAACAGTGTTATGAAATAAGAGACCAAAGTCATTCTATCAAGGGGAAACCAGTTCAGGGCATTTATGCAACATCTTGTGCAGAATCAAAACAGAATAGCAGTAGCAAGGCAGAGTGTACATCCTGACAAGCATGCAACAGTTTCCAGCCCAAGAAGGCACACGGCCTAAAAGGGGGGTGTGTGTGTGTGTGTGTGTGTGTGTGTGTGTGTGTGTGTGTGTGTGGGTAAAAAGAGCTGGGGAAGAGAAGAAAATAGTCTCTTGGAGAAAAGGAGGAAGGAAGTTTACCTCAGGGTCAAGTATTGTAGGCCACTTAAAGGAACAGAGAGAGGAACACAAAGCAGAGATAAAGGCTTTACTGATGAAAACACTGATGAGATTAAGAATAACTGCAATCTTATCAAGGTTGTTAATTTTATATATTTATTTATATATTCTTTTTTTAATTGTGAAAAGGGAAGAAAATGTCAAGACCTCACTAATCAGATATTCACAAAATCTGCCACTCCCCAAAGCCTCCAAATCATTACCTGTATCCGTGTCCATACATCATGCCACTTTGGGATAAGCACATTTTCGTAACAGGATTGTTGACTGGCATTCATATGAACAACTCTGGATTCCTTAAGCATGACCACATTTAAATCAATTTCGGCTTTATGCAAAGAAAGAAAATAACAATTAAATATAATAACAAAACAAACTAATAACCACAACTCATTTCATAAAAAGAATTAAACTGACTACTTTCTAAAAGTTGGGGTTAAAATATCAGGGACTGACACAAAGAAGAAAACTAACATGGGAGAAGGAGTAAGGCGGCGTCTGGCTTCTGTCAAATGTAATTTTTAGAAATATTATAAATAGTCACTGATCCAGGATGAGTAATAATAAAATCCACTATTATGTGTGTATTAAGACAGACAATATGTGTCTCATTTAACCCTCCTAACAATGCTATCAGGTAGGCCCTCTCATAATATTCACTTTTATAAATGAGGAAACTGATATTTAGGAACAATTACATACTTTGTCCAAAGCCACAGAGCTAATAAATAGCTTAACTGAGATTCACACCAGGTCCTGTTTTTCTTACAAAGGCATAGCTAAAACAAACCATCCAGTGATTTCCTCTATTCCTTTCTGGAGTAGGAAGAACAAAATTAGCAACATCTTTTGTATTTAAAGTCCTTTAAACAGATATTAAAAGACTGCAAAGTTTCTTTTTCCTAGCTGTTTTTGTTTCAAGTTTTAAAAGCGGCTAATTAACATATGCAGTCCCTCAGTTCAATTCAGTCACTCAGTCATGTCCTACTCTTTGCGACCCCATGAATCGCAGCACGCCAGGCCTCCCTGTCCATCACCAACTCCCGGAGTTTACTCAAACTCATGTCCATCGAGTCGGTGATGCCATCCAGCCATCTCATCCTCTGTCATCCCCTTCTCTTCCTGCCCTCAATCCCTCCCAGCATCAGGGTCTTTTCCAATGAGTCAACTCTTCGTATGAGGTGGCCAGATTACTGGAGTTTCAGCTTCAGCATCAGTCCTTCCAATGAACACCTAGGACTGATCTCCTTTAGGATGGACTGGTTGGATCTCCTTGCAGTCCAAGGGACTCTCAAGAGTCTTCTCCAACACCCCCTCAGATTTCACCAAAACAGAAGAGGCGCCCTCAGGAGCTTATACTCAAACTCCGCCAAGTGAAGGTCAGCAGGTGGCCGCTCTCATCATCTCCCACCTCTTCTGCACAAGCCGCCTTCTTTGCCACAGAACATTTCAGGATCTTCCTTGTTCCACGTTGTATATAACAGCCATTAAATGCTACTCTAAGTGGAAATGTAGTTACCACTTTGGTTCTCAGTGTAAAGGGGGAAAGATTTAAATAAACTAACAAAACACCCCAAAACAAAAACCTCCACCAAAACTTCCAAAGCCAGTTACACACGCACAAAGGCAATGACACGATTTTAGAGCGAGACTAAGACTAATTTTGAAGTTAAATTCAGTTCTAAACCTAAACATTAAGAGCAAAAACTACAAAACACTTAGAAGAAGAAAAAAAGTGTGTAAATCTTTGTGACCTTGGATTAGACAATGGCTTCAAAAAATTTAAAAATTCTATGTTTCAAAGGCCACTATCAAGAAAATGAAAAGACAACCCACAAAGTGGGAGAAAATATTTGCAAGTCAAGTATCTGATAAGGGTCTAGTACCCAGAATATATAAAGAACTACTACAACTCAACAACAAAAAGAGGAAAAAAAACAATTTTTAGAATGCATAAAGGATTTGAATAGACATTTCTTGAAAGAAAATATACAAATGGCCAATAAGCACAATGAAAAAAGGCTCAACATCATTAATCACTATGGAAATGCAAGTCAAAAACCACAATAAAATGCCACTTCACACTCAGTAGGATGGCTATAACCAAAGAAAAAAGAGGGCAATAACCACAGTTGGCAAGGATGTAGAGAAACTGGAACCCTCACACATTGCTGGTGGGGATGAAAAATGGAACTTTCTGGAAAACAGCTCGGCAGTTCCTCAAAGACAAAAACAATCAGACACAGCAATTCCACTCCTCTGTGTACACCCGAGAACTGAAAACATGTTCACACAAAAACTTGTACATAAAACTTCATTGCAGCAATATCCATAACCGAAATGTGGAAACACCCTAAATCTCATCAGCTGATCAATGGATAAGCAAAAAGTGGTATTATCAATACGATGGAATATTATCCAGCCACAAAAAGAAAATACTGATACATACTACATGAACCTTTAAAACATTATGCTGAATGAAAGCCAGTCAACCAAAAGTCCACATATTAAATGATTCCATTTATGTAAACATCCACGAAAGCAAAGCAGATTAGTAGTTGTCAGGGGCTGGGAGGAGAAAGAATGGGGAATGACTGCTCAGGGGTACCGGGTCTCATTTTGGAATAATGAAGATATTCTGGAATTAGTGGTGATGGCTGCACATTACAAGCACAGCTGACCCTTGACTGACAGATGGGTAGGGATGCCGCCTCTCTGCTCCTTCAAAAACCAGCCCTCTGGACCCACAGTTCCGCATCTGTGGATTCAACCAACCAAAGACCAGGAAGTACTGTAATATGTATCTACTGAAACTAAAAATCCACGTGTAAGTGGACACATGGAATTCAAATCTGAGTTGTGCAAGGGTCAACTGCATACCAAAAACCAATGAAAGGGTGGATTTTATGGTATGTTAATTATATCTCAATATTTTAAAATTCAGTTGATTTTGTTGGGGGGGAAGGAAAAGTTTTCCTTCACTCTCTTAAGAGTGTCCAGCTAGGCCTGAAAATTAAACTGACAAAGACATATTAACATGGGAAAAGCATACATATTTGTTTTATGCTCCTTCCCTTGTGGCTTAGCTGGTAAAGAATCCGCCTGCAATGCGGGAGACCTGGGTTCAAATCCCTGGGTTGGGAAGATCCCCTGGAGAAGGGAAAGGCTACTCACCCCAGTATTCTGGCCTGGAGAATTCCATGGACCATATAGTCCATGGGGTCGCAGAGTCGGACTCGACTGAGCGCCGTTCACGTCACATGTGACATGAAAGCCTCTAAGGAAGTAAAGACCGGAAGCAGCAGACCCATGTACTTTATGCTAGGTTTGATGAGAGCGGATCACCACCGAGAAGACGGGCTGAGCATGAGCAAACTGCAGCAAAGCGGGGGGAGCTCGGCAAGGCCTGCTCACTGGGGCTCTTCTCTGTATCCCCTGTCTTCAAAGCTAAGGCTGCTCCTTCCCTTCTGGTATGGGGAGGGCACCTCTCACGGGAGGATTTAGGGCCTGTTTCAAGGAAAAAGGGCAAAGTGGGGAAGGTCAGAGGGACTTTTCAGCTTCTGTTGTTTTCTCAGACTCCTTCAGCTTCAAATATTCAGTGTGCCAAGGTGCCATATTTTGGGGTAGAATGTCCTGAACCCCATCTATCAACTTCTCACTGGAGTTCAATAGTAGTTTGGATTTCCTCCAAGCCTATTTTTCACAAAGTGAAACCTTTCCAAAATTCTGCTGACATTTGTTTCACTAGCAAATCCACAAATATACTGAAAGTTCACCCACTCACAAATTTGGATCAAGAGTTTATTTTCTTCTGGAGATTGTAAGAAAGTAAAATTCTGTGAAACTTAAAACTAGTGTGTTTACAAATAAATTTTTAAAAACCCAAGGGTCACACTTTATTAACTCCTCTCCTACAGCAAGTAATATAACACAACATATCTTTAAACCCATTTTCAAGAAAGTGTGTTAGTCGGTCAGTCGTGTCAGACTCTTTGAGACCCCATGGACTGTAGCCCACCAGGCTCCTCTGTCCATGGAATTCTCCAGGTAAGAATACCGGTTGCCATTCCCTTCTCCATGGGATCTTCCCAACCCAGGGATCGAACCTGAGCCTTCTGCACTGCAGGTAAACTCTTTACCATCTGAGCCACCAGGGAAACAGTAAGATACAAATAACATGTCAATAGCATAGGCCATCTGAAGAACTTAATGCCAGGAAAAGGCATTCGTATTTTTAAGACAATTTGAAAATTCTTCAGGGGCTTCCCTGGTGGCTCACTGGTAAAGAACCCACCTGCCAATGCAGGAGACACGGGTTCAAGCCCTGATCCCAGAAGACCCCACGTGGCCAGAAGCAACTGAGCCCATGGGACACAGCCACCGGGCCCAGCGCCCGAGCCCACGCTCCGCAGCAGAGCGGCCGCCGGGGGAGAGGCCCGCACGCGCCGGAACCAGCAAAGACGCCCTCACGGCAACAAAGACCCAGCGCAGCCAAAAATAAATCCACAAAACGAGAAAACGAGGTAAACAAGTTCTTCAGTGTCACTTTCCTAAGGAAGTAAAATACTTAGGAGAGACAGCACTGTGGGAGGAATCCCCTGGGCGTCCAGTGGTTAGGGCTCCAAGCTTCCACCGCAGAGATGGGTTCATCTCTGGTCAGGGAGCTGAGACCGCCCATGACACCAGGTAGTCAAAAGTAAATTTAAAATTGCCTTTTAAGCCCAAGGTCGAATTCTTCTTGCAGTTTAGTGGGTCACAACTTGCTTGCATGTATTTACCCATGAACTAGCTACTCAAAAGTTAGCTAGTTCAATATATTCAAAATATACATATATATATATATAACATATTCAAAAACTAGTAAATATATTCAAAAATATATTTACTTATATTCATCAACTTTTCAATCAACAACACTGATCATTTAACATCTACTGGTAGAAGGTAATGAAAATGATTCATAGTATGTGAGGACCAGAAAAGACCTAAAAAAGTCATGAAAAAACACCTCCTCTAATTCTTAAATAGCCTCTAATCATTTCTGTCAAGAGGTAATCCAGTTCATACTTAAAAGCATTTTAAAATTCTCCTTAAAAACTAGCAACTTTAAGGTAGTGGGCTTAGCAAAGGATTAGTCAATGGGATGCTGGGACAACTGACAGTTATCTGGAAAACAAAATTCATCTAGATACTCACCTCACACCAAATGCTAACAATAATCATTGGTTAAAAAGTAAAATGAATGTTAAGAAAAAAGTAAAATGAAAAATAATTAAATTGTACTACAAAATACACACATATAAAAACTCAATTCTGGAAGGCTCTTTTAGTGTAAAATCAATGGAAATAAATCTAAAGGATAAAATCAAGAAACTTCCCTGGTGGTCCAGTGCTTAGACTCCATGCTTCCAATAGAAGAGGGTGTGGGTCTGCTCCCCAGTCGGGGAACTAGAATGTCTACGACTCCCTGGCTGTCCAGTGGTTAGGACTCCACATTTCACTGCCAGGGCCTGGGTTCAATCCCTGGTTAGGAAACTAAGATCACGCATGGTTCTCGGTTTCACCAAATAAAAATTTAAAAAAGAGTAACATCAAGCAACCACATAAAAATATAAATCTTCTATTTTAAAAGATATAAAGAAAAAAGATAAAAAGGGACAAACATCAAAGGTTTGTAATAAATAATTATAAAATATACATCCTTAATATGTTAAAAAGGTTCAATTGATTTTAAAGGTACACAAAACCCCAATAAATAGTAATCACAATAAACAGTCAAAGAGCAAAGGACACACACTCCAAAAAATGTAAGTCTAAACAGATAATTAGATAACTAATGAGCATTTGAAAGATGCTACTTCACAAATAATTCATGAAATTCAAAATAATTAAGATACCACTTTCAATCTATCAAATTAGCAAAGGTGTTTCAGTCTGGAATATCCAGTGCTGGCAAGGATACAGGTCACAGACAAGTAAGAGCTGACAGTGGTATAAACTGGCACATATTTTCAGAAAAATATTTTAGCAAGATGTTTCAAGGGTCTTAAATTTATTTTAGCCATTTCTAAGAATCTATTCTTTAAAAAAAATTATCCATAGCATAAAAATAGAATAACATTAATGAAGACTTTTAAATGACAAAGGAAAATGTTATGCTACAAAACCAAATGAGAAACAACCTCTGGTAACAAGTGGTGGTCTTCAAGTAAGAGAACTGGACTGCTGACAAGTTCATGAATGTATTATAAACTCAAACAAAATTTTTTAAATTAAAAACACATGGAAACAGACCAGAAGAAAGAGTGCTTTAACGGACTGACTCTGACAAAATAAAGTGAATTCTTTTTTTACTTCTTTATGCCTAATTGTTCTTGTCAAATAGTCTAAAATAAATTCCAATGATTTTTATAATCGAATTCTTCAACAACCTTCAGTGAGAAAGAACTCTTGCCTTTTCAAGTACTGCATTCTCTTTCGGTACCTCTCACTTTAGAAAGTTCTCTATTACATGACTATCTTTTGTAGCTACCACCTACATCATCCACTAGGCCACGAAGAACAAGTATTCTCTGAGTTTACCCTTCTCCAAGCCAAAAAGTCCCCATTCATCTCCTTATTAAAGAAACCTTGAGACTACTGACTGAGCACTAAGGAGGAGCATTTTGGAATAAACACTTTCATCTCCACAGTACACAACCTCCACGGTTAAACATCTGGTCAAAGGTCATTCAGATCATATGCAGTCCATCAAATGATACTCTGGGCCCTGACTCTGGAAAAAGTGTCTTCTTGGATACCTACACTCCTCCCCTTTAAAAAAATTTCAGACGGCCGCAGCGCTTTGAAACTAGTTCTGTAGATCCTTAAGGTTGTGAGATAACCTTAAAGCTAGCTCAGGATAATCATCAAGTGACAAGAAGAAAGAGGCAGCAAACGATGGGAGAGGAGAGAAAGGATATGTGTTCACAAGATATGGTTATCCTTAACCCCAAGAGTCTCAACTTCCTCCATGGAAGCTTCCAAACTTATCTTTCCGTAGTGCAATTAACAAGGTTGGAAGGAGGGTTTGTTGTTGTTGTTCTTTTTAACAAACACACCCTAGGTTTTCTGAATTAGAGCGGAAGAGGAAAATAATTTCATCCCAGTCCAAAGCCAACTAAGCAGCAACCGGCATCCAGAAAGTTTGCCTGAGGAATGAATAAATTTCCAAAAGAAAATTACTAGACGTTAACTAACGTTTCTGCCTCTTTTCGGAAACTGGAATTTAACTGCTCCAGATCGGTTCTATGGAACCTGGCCGGTAGGGGCCAGGATCTTAAGTGCGCAAGGTATCGATGAGAGATCATTCCAGTGAACTACAATCACCTGCTCAGCCACCGCGCCCAGAGTCCTGACTGCATATGCTCAGGTGTTGCTAATTTCCTGAATGAACAGGTTGCTCCCTTTCCAGTGGCAGTTCTGTCTGTCCGTTTGGTCCTAGGGTCACCTTCCTTTTAACCAATGAAATCGAGGAAGCCAGTGAAGCAAGGCGGAGCCCCCAGGACCGCTTTTCACCCAGTGCAGGCCTCCTGGTCTCCGCCAAAACGGCTCTAGGCTCCCCCCCATTCTGGATAGCTCCCGCAAGCCGCCCCCCGGGGCCCTTGGCCCCTCAAGGCGGGCGCCCATTCGCCCAGGATGTAGCTCCTTTCTCCGCACCACGCCCGCGCCCCTCAGCAGAATAACGGCCCACGCCCTGGGGACACTCCCCACCTTTCTAAATATAAAGCCTCGGCACCCGCCCCCTTGGCAGCTGCTGCCCGCGGTACCTGAGCCGCAGACAAAGCAGCCGGAGAGGACCAGAAGCAGCCGCACTGCCCCGCCACCCCCGGCCCCCCAACTCCAGGGCCCGGCACCAACTGCCGGCAAGACCGCCACTTTCATTCCTCCCGCCATGGTCGCCTCACGCCGCCTCCTCCTCACGTGCCTCCCCCCGGCAACTAAGCCGGAACAGGCAGGACCAGCAGCCTATTCGCTACAAGGCCCGCCCCCTATCAACCAATCGGATGGGCGGTGCTTCGAGCCCTCGGTCCTTTTTGGCACCCTATATTCCCGCCTCTTAGCAACTGATGAGGAGCAATGGCGACAGGAAGATCCCGCCCCTTAACAACATGCTTCCGTCTCCACTTTATTTACAACTGGACCGATTGATGGTAAGCTTAACCAATAGAAAATCAGAACGGGCGAGGCGTTCTTGACCAAACTTGTTATTTCCATCGAAACTATCTCAGATTCTTTCTGTTTTCTTTCTTTGCTGTTCACCGTGATCTTTCCGTTGTGGGAAACTTAAGTCGTCTTAAATGATTTCAAACGGAAGCTATACAAAAAATTCTGTTGACAGTTTTATAGGGAATAAACATTAACGTATAAAAATGTAGTCATAGGGTAGGATTATTTTGGGAGGGGAGGGAGCTAAATGCCTGCGAAGATTAAGAGAAGCTTTTTTATTCTTCACAACATCCTGGGAGATAAATAGCTTCATTTATAAAGAAGCCAGAACTAAGACAGAAAAAGGAACCTGCCCAAGATTGCAGTTTCTTGGGCTGGGCTGTGGTTCCAACCTAGGTCTTACCCCAAAGCATGAGTTCTTTCTATGCATCAGGTGCTTCCAATTAAATGGCTCACACGGTGAAAGCCTAGCAGAGGGCCTAGCACATAATAAGTGTTCAATAAATGTTAGTCGAAACTGAAGCATCTAATTTTTTAGAGGATCTGGTAGTTCAGTTCAGCTGCTCAATCGTATCCGACTCTTTGTGACCCCATGGACTGCAACACCCCAGGCTTCCCATCACCAACTCCTGGAGCTGGCTCAAACTCATGTCCATTGAATCGATCATGCTGTCCAACCACCTCCTTTTGCGTTCAATCTTTCCCAGCATCAGTGTCTTTTCTAACGAGTCAGTTCTTCAAATCACGTGGCCAAAATGTTGGAACTTCAGCTTCAGCATCAGTCCTTCCAGTGAATATGCAGGACTGATTTCTTTTAGGACTGACTGGTTTGATCTCCTTGCAGTCCAAGGTATTCTCAATAGTCTTTTCCAACACCACAGTTCAAAAACATCAGTTCTTCAACGCTCAGCTTTTTTTATGGCCCAACTCTCACGTCCATATATGACTATTGGAAAAACCATAGCTTTGATCTGATAGTGGTGGGTAGGAATACTAGAGATGATGGAGTCCAGTGAGTTAATCAAAAATTCAGAGAAGGAGGTAACTGCTGCGGAAGGTTCAAGCTTTCAAAACACGGATTTTTTAAAAGTGAAAGTGAAGCCGAGCAACAGGCAAGAGAAGAAATTTCATCCTCAGAAAGAAAAGTCGGGCCACCTCTGGTGCGGCAGTCGTCCTGTCTCTCACACACTCCACCACACACTCCCCTGGCCGACCTAAAGAGGTCCGTATCCGCAGTAATACACCTTGTTGCTACTGTGCACCCTTGATAGTGTGTGGAGAAAATGGTATTTCTGTGGTTTTCCTCCTCAAAACTCATAAAACTGAGATAAATTTATTATTAGGTCTCTCAGTTGGGTCCGACTCTATGCAATGCCATGGACTGTAGCCTGCCAGGCTCCTCTGTCCATGGAATTCTCCAGGCAAGAATACTGGAGTGGGTTGCCATTTCCTTCTCCAGGGGATCTTCCAGATCCAGAGATGGAACCTGGGTCTCCTGCATTGCAGCCAGATTCTTTACATTCTGAGCCACCAGGGAAGCCACTTAAAAAATTCAGATAAAGAGGTAAACTAGGGACTTCTCTCGTGGTCCAGTGGTTATGACTCTGCACTTCTCCTGCCGAAGGCGCAGGTTCAGTCCCTGTTTGGGGAACCCATAAGATCCCACAAGCCATGTGTGGTACAGCGAAACAAAGAGGCAATCTACAAAATACCTGATCAACACTCCTCATAGTCATCACAAACAGGGCAACTCTGAGAAACTAACAGCCAAGAGGAGCCTAATAAAATATGGAAACCAAATGTAATATGGTATCATGGATGGGATCGTGAAATAGAAAAAAATTAGATAAAAACTAAGGAAATCTGAGTAAAGGACAGGCCGTAGTTAGTAATAGTGTATCAATGCTGGTTCATTAATGGTAGTAAACACACAGTACTAATGTAAGATAGTTACAGTGGGAACTGGATGGTGAGTACAGGGACAACTCTCTGTACTATCTTCTCAATTTTTCTGTAAGTCTAAAACTTGAAAAAAATAATTTATACACCCACACCCCTCAACACACACACACACTTCATTTTCTGCTGCTGCTGCGTCGCTTCAGTCGTGTCCGACTCTGTGCGACCCCATAGACGGCAGCCCACCAGGCTCCGCCGTCGCTGGGATTCTCCAGGCAAGAACACTGGAGTGGGTTGCCGTTTCCTTCTCCAGTGCATGAAGTGAAAAGTGAAAGTGAAGTCGCTCAGTCGTGTCCGACTCTTCAGGACCCCATGGACTACAGCCCACCAGGCTCCTCTACCCATGGGATTTTCCAGGCAAGAGTACTGGAGTGGGTTGCCATTGCCTTCTCTGCTTCATTTTCTACCAGGTCCCAAATTCTCAGCATTCAGAGCTTTCTCTTCGGTTTTGAACAAGGCCAGAGAACAGGGGAACGAATTCCAGAGAATCATTTACTTTCTTTTTTCAATCCCCCACCAGGGATTGAACCCAGATCTGGCAGTGAAAGCAGTGAGTGCTAACCACTGGACCTCCAGAGAATTCCCACCACTGACTGTTAAAATGTGTAAATGCAGTGTACAGTAATAAGACTGGTTGTCCATTAACACATCACACCTTATCATCCAAATGAGTTCCGTCCCTTCCAGGTACTCAGTTCAAGAAGATTTTAGCCTTGTTTTAATAATATGAACACTGCTCAAAACACTTTGAGAATCATCTTCAGAGTCTATAACACACACTTCAATGAATATTCATTATCTGCAGGTGGATCTGATTTATGCAAATAACCAAAAAAACTCAGGCCAACGCTGATGAGTAAATGGGGCAGGAAATCTGGACCGTAAATGTGTTTCAGAATTTTTTTGGATTTTAGAAATGTAATATGGTGCATATGTAATAAGTAAGACAGCAATCTCAGTGGGGTCTGGGACAGTACCTCATAAACAAATTAATGTTTCTGCAATGAGAGATGAATATTCACATCGATATAAATGAAAGTGGCATAAATGAAACTATAAATAACCTTATGTATTAATAAACTATTTCACTCTCCTCTTTCACTTTCATTAAGAGGCTCTTTAGTTCCTCTTTGATTTCTGCCATAAGGGTGGTGTCATCTGCTTATTTGAGGTTATTGATATTTCTCCCTGTAATCTTGACTCCAGTTTGTGCTTCATTCAGTCCGGCATTTCACATGATGTACTCCGCATGTAAATTAAATAAGCAAGATGACAGTATACAGCCTTGATAAGCTAGGAGGTCTGCCACAAAGTAAGTTCAAGTCAGATTAGGTTTTGTAGTCAAAAGAGATAGGAAAATTTTTGGCTTTCATAACTTTCTTAATTTAGGAAAAAGACTGAAGATGGTGACTATCTGACAACGATGCTCCATTCTATCCACTCAGTCACCCAAGCTAGAAGCCTGAGAGTTACTCTAAACTCCTCTCTTCCCCCAGCCCTTTAGCCAGTCATATTCGTATTACCCGATGGTCGTTCAAGGGTTTTTTGAAAATGTTTATTTTTGCCTTTTCACTGTGCTGGGTCTTCACTGCAGTGTGGACTTCTCTCTGGTTGCAGCGAGCAGGGGATGTGCTCCAGTTGCTGCGGGCTTCTTGCAGCGGCTTCTCTTGTAGAGCGTGGGCTCCAGGGCACTGGGCTTCAGTCGTTGTGGCTCCTGGGCTCTTCAACACAGGCTCAATGGTCGCAGCGCAAGGTCAGTTGCCCTGCAGCACGTGGGTCAGTGTCAGAACCCATGGCTCCTGCATCGGCAGGTGGATTCTTTACCTCTGAGCCCCCAGGGAAGCCCTGATGACTATCTTTTTAATCTGTCCTTTCCTCTCCATCTCCAGTGGTTTAGTCTAGCACCTTGCCATCTCTCTCGGCGCACTTTTGTTTCCTTCAAGTTGGCCTCTCTGCAGTTTTTACATCCGTAAAACCTTTTCTCCACACCACTCCTAAATACAGATATGACCATGTCACTCCCATGTTAAGGCTTTATGGCTCCATGCCATCTCCTGTGATACTTTATGGCCCATGGTGCTAATAGCACCTAAATACAGATGTAGAGAAACAAATTTGGGCACTCCCCTGGTGGTCTAGTGGTTAAGAATCCACCTTGCAATACAGGGCACGCAGGTTTGATGCCTGGTTGAGGAACTAAGATCCTACATGCTACAGAGCAGCTGAGCCCGTAAGCCACAACTAGAGAGTCCGTGCCCCAGAATGAAAGATCCCCCACGATGCAATGAAGATTCCCAGTGCCGCAACCAAGACCCAACACAGCCAAATAGATAAAAACAAACAAGGCCATCCTCTGTGCTCACAGAGCGCCTCATATGCTTGTCACTTAAATAAAAGAGATGAC